GCAGCAGGCGGCAGCAAAGCGTCACAGTTGCCAACGAACTTGGCCAGCACTCCTGCAGATGAACTTTCGCCAGGCCCCTGGGCATTGCATCCTTTCGGTCGAAATCTTCTTAATTCATTGTGAGTGTCAGCAGCGAACAAGAGGTCTGCGGAATGGAAGCGACCCCGCTTACAGGCGTGATTTTTTGTTGTTTGTTTTTGCTGACAGAATTCAACACTATGAGCGGATACCCGATGTACAAACCCTTGCCATGCTTGCTTGCGTCTTTGCTTGGCCCGGCGTAAAATCCAATGCGGCAGGATGGAAACTAGCGTATGCGGGATTGATTCGCTTTGTGGGAGGAGTCTGTTGCTCTTGTGGAACTGAAAATGCTCACTTGGGGAAGTTGCAGTCGCGGGCAACACGGTAATCTGCACGCGAGTCGATCAGCAGATTCGATCGACCATGAACCCAGCGTCACAAGTGGGCTGCTCAGCGCCATGTCTACATCTGCGCTCGCGACCGCCAGGCCTCTGAGCCGCGGTGCTTTCGGCGCTACTGATGATCAAAACTATGCCAAAGCTGTTCGGTATGGGCATTTTCTGTGCGGCAGACAGAGAAACAGTGTGCAACGAGAGGGAAACTTATTGTTTTTGTGTGTTGGTCTGTTGCATCTGCTGCACAGCATGCTTGACCCAAGCAAGTCCAATCGCTTTTTCCAGTTTATCAAGTTTTATAGCGAGGTTCTGTACGGCTGGGGATACCTGCAAGCGCGTGGCGAGTTGCTGCGCTTTTTGCATCAGCCACCCCGCGGACATCTCGGCCTTGGTGAGCAAATCTTGGTTGGTTGATGGTGGCAACGGGGGTTTTGGTGAAAGTGTGCTTCTCACTCTGCGGTGCTTTTTGGGAATTGGGGGTTGGGGGAGCAGAATTTGACGTCAAGTGCCAAATTTGCAACAAGAACTTTTTGCGGTCTGTTCGGTGCGGAGACTGCAAGCGGAAGGGCTATGGCTTTGGGTGCGCCATTTGCCACGTTCCAGTGAAAGGTGGGTAGTCGGTTGTTTGGTTGGTTGTGTGGCATGAGTTGGAAACGAGTTGTTCATCATTTTTTCGATTCTTTTCTTTGTTTTGCACAAATAACAGGTCTGTCGAACTTTTGCGTCGTGTGTGGCCACGGAGGCCACTCCGAGCACATGCGGGCATGGTTTGAGCACAATGTTTCGTGTCCAACTGGATGCGGCTGCCGCTGTACCGAGATGGAAGTGTAGAAGTGGCGCAGACCGAAACCTCGTTCCGAATAAATCGTTGTTTGATGCGTAACTCTACCCCGACGTGGACTGCACACACTCTTCGAGGGTTCAGCCGAATGTGTGTTTGTGAATAGTATTTTCACAGATTTTGCACTGATTTCGGGACCCTTGAAAACAGATTCAGAGATTTTTGGTTTGTTTGGAGGTTGTTTCATCACTCAAACGGTGCAAGTCGGGCTAGAATCACTCTTGTCACACTTCCATTCTGCTTTTTTTTTCTTAAATACACCATCGCGCTGTTTTTTGCTTTGCTCCAGTTTTGCATCCAAATTCAAGATTGTCATTTCTCAGCAACCAATCTTTTTTTTTTTTTTTTTCTCGCTTTATTCATTTTTTTTTTTTTTTTTTTTTTGGTAAGAGTTTTTTTTTTTTTCTTTTTCTTTTTTTCTATCACGATTCAGGTCTTCGCTCGCATAAGCCCGCTGCCCCCGTCGCACTGGCTCACCAGCACCATTCATCGCGTGTTTGTGACGCGTGGTGAGCAAGTGATTGGCCCGAGCGATGGACGCACAACAGACAGCACCATGAACAAAACGCTCAGAGCGAAAAGCGAAGCGAGAGAAATGGAAAAAAAAAAAAAAAAAAAGTTCAACTGATGGCTTTTGGCTGTGATGGATTCGCTGCAGTTGGGGGGAGGGAGGGGACATTGCACAGGCGTCCCATCGGCCTTTTGGCGTGGATCTGTTCTGCCGTGCCTGGAGTTCCGCTGTGACCAAATCGGCGGGCATCCAGGAACGAAGGACAAGCGAAAAACCTCACAGAAAAAAAAAAAAAAAAAAAAAAAAAACAGGCAAAAAGAGGCACTTCAATGGCTTATCATTACGAGCTCGGCGCGGGTGATGGTGCATCTGACTCTGATGCTCGTCGAACCCAGCTTGCGTCTGTGGGTGGGAGAAGTGGCGCTCCAAAGCGAGCGGCCAAACTCTGGACAAAGCCCAATCCAATCCAATACAATACAATACAATACAATACAAAGCCTTTTTTCTTCTTCTTCTTTGTGCTTTGCTTCCCTTTCTTCAATGACCTTTCTCTTGCCTCGCTTTTGCAGTCATCCTCAAAGCTCACCTTCGTCTTCATCACAAAAAAGCATTTCTTTGGTTTTTAGGGTTTTTGTTTAAATTCGGGTTTTGGGATTGATCCAAAGAAGGAACAGCAAACCATGTCTGACATCCCACAAGAAACCAACATTACGACGCCCAACTCGACGAGCGCAGCGGCCTCGGGCTCTGCGACTGGTAGCAGCGCAGACAACAAGTTTATGGGCCAGAAGGAGCGACGACGCTCGTCCGCCGTCAAGATGTTCCTTGGCGACCATCTCAGCCTCCTGTCCAACCAGAGCGTCCTGAAGCTCATGGCAAAGAACAACGACAAGGAAATCCTCTTCTCGGACGTCATTGTCAAGATTAACAAGCGACACAAGATGCAAGACCGTATCTTCCTGCTGACTGGTACGGAGCAGTTGTTTGTGTGCGTATCAAAATTGTATTGGACTACAATCTCAATTGGGGCTGGGCGTCTTGTTGTTGTTGTTGTTGCTGCTGTTGCTGCTTTGTGCTTGTCAAATCATGCAGAGGGCGGTGTTTACAACATTGACCCGAACGGCTACAAGTGCAAACGCCGCATCGCATTGAAAGAGATTGGCTCAATCTCGCTCAGCAAACTGCCCGACAACTTTTTCGCTTTGCAAGTGCCATCCGAGTACGACTACCTCCTCGTCAGCAGCAAGAAGACTGAAATTGTCTCCAAGCTGCTCGAGGCGTACGAGAAGGCGACCGGCAAGCCCTTGTCCGTGACTTTCGGCAACGTGTAAGTTTCCAAGGGTTTTTAGAGATTTTAGTTTGATGATAAAGGAGCAGGGGAGAGAGTTGAAATGGACTTTTTGCCTGACCTGTGCGGGTGGGGGTGCAGCTTTGACTATCGTGTGGACCAAGATACTGTTCGAGAAATTCAATTCAGCCTAGTCGACGGTACATATTGATCTGTGTGGGCTGCATGTCCGTTGCCCTTAAGTCATCCCTCATTTTTTTTTGTTTTTGCTCTTGTTTGTTGGCGCACCATGTCACAGGCGGTGTCAGCACGCGCATCTATACAAAGAAGAAGTCCAAGGACGCCAAGAAGTAAAGAAACGTGCTCGGCCACGGTTTTCTTCTCGTTGCTCCATTGTTCTTTGTTTTGTTTGTCCTTTCCCCCATTCGCCTTTTTACCTCCAGTCCATGTGAATGTAGCCACTTGTAGTGGTTGTTGTTGTTATCCTGTCTCTTTCTTTCTTTTCTCCTCTCGCTGATTTTGTCGTTCATCGTCCGTTGCCGTCTGCCACGCCGGTCGCTTTCTCGTGCAGACGATGTTGCGTGTATGGATGTCGCGTTGTCCGCTGTATCTGTCCCCACCAATCTAATGCTCATTTACTATCGTCCAAAACGAGATGTTGTGTTCAAGCATTTTCATGGAGCGTGAAGCGACACTGCACTGGCAAATGCTGATATAGATTGCATGCTAACAAAAGAATATACCAAGCGAGACTCGCTCAATACAAACAGAATCACAAACAAAAAAACATGCTCTGGGGAACAAGCTGCGCCAACGTTCCGAATTCTGATCTAGCACGCTCCACACTTTTCATTCTTTGGCTTGTTGGGCGTCTCGTCAACGAGTTGCACCGTCGAAGCCGGCTTTGGTTGTGCGATTGATTCTTGTGGGAGTCGTTTACCTTGAGAAACAAGCAAAAAAAAAATGAGCGGAAGACCAAAGCGAGCGCAGACAACAGATCGTGCCAAACAAGCCAGCCCCTCTCCATGACGAGGAAGAGAGAGCCACAAATACCAAACACACAAACCAAACATACTTAGTGCTTCAAACAAATAGCTGACGTTGTCGGCCGTGAGGGCACTGGTTTCGACAAAGAGGGCGTCAATCGAGTCGGCGTACTCCTTGGCCTCGTCGCTGGAGACTTGGCGCTGTGACTCGAGATCCGACTTGTTGCCTGCAATAGCCAGGATGATGTTGGAGGGCCCGAACTGGCGGAGCTCCTTGACCCAGTGCTTGAGCGCCTCAAAGCTCTGCTTGCGCGTGATTTCGTACACGATGATTGCTGCCGCCGCATTTCGGTAGTACATCGGGGCCAATCCACGGTACTAGGTTTGGTGCGAGTGTGGTGAGGTTTTAGAGGGCGGTGAGTGGGGGGGTTAGAGAGTCGATACAATGCTTGGTCGGTAGCAAATTTTCGGTGCTCACCTTCTCCTGGCCTGCCGTGTCCCAGATTTGGTATTTGAATGTCTGGTCCTCAACAATGAGCGTCTTGGACATGAACGAAGCGCTGGCGTGAGGGAGGGGGAGGGGTTTGGAGCGATTGAGGAAGGGGGAAAAGGTGTGAAATCAAGGGATTAGTAGTGAGAAGGGAGCAAGGATTTGGTAGGCAGGTGAGTGAGCAAACAGTAAGCCAAAAGAAGCGTTTTAAAAGCCATAATTTTGCTTTTTTTTTTTTTTTTTTTGGTTTTTTTGGTTTTTTTTTACCCAATTGTGCTTTCCGAGTTTTCGTTGAACGAGTCTGCGACAAACCGCAGCACGAGACTCGACTTGCCGACGCCAGCATCCTGTCAACGAAGAAGAAGAAAAGCATTCATTCATTCATTCAAAAGCAGCCAAAGTCAAAAAGTCAGTCAAACAACGAAGCGATAAATCCAAAAAAAAAAAAAAAAAAAAAAAAAAAAAAAGCCGCAATGATTTTTGCATTGAAATTTTGCATCAACAATAAAAAATAATAATAATAAAATCGATAATAATTCAAAAATTAGTCTACAAATGGCTTTTTTTTTTTTTTTGTTTTTTTTTTTTTTTGTGAAGAGCAAACGAACGAACGAACGAACGAACGAACGAACGAACGACTCGAATGCGGAGACACGAGTCAATGTTAGAAGACGAAGAAGAAGAAGGAAGAAGATGGAAGAAGAAGGAAGAAGCGGGAAAGCAACGAAACCACGGCAAGAAAGAGACGCGCTTACGCCAAGAAGACAAAGCTTGACTTCACGAAGCGACAAGCTTGACATGTGAAGAAAAATATGCTGAGAAGAGTGAACTTTCTATAAGAAAAAAAGAATCAAGAAACTGAGAGAAAAGAAAGGATAAAGGGAAAAAGAGCTGAATGGATGTGAGTTGTGAGAAGAGATCAGATTTCGAAATTGAACACCAGAATTGTCATTCTAGAATTGCTGATGGCGCTCGGGGATTGAGGGGAGTATGGAAGAAGGGCAGTGGAAAGGTTTGGGTTGAATGCTGCAAGTTTGGCGAGTACATCCTCGCCAACGTCAGTCAACCAGAGGAATGAGCGGAATTGCGAGAAAATAGTCATCTTCACCGAGTGCCTGCTACCCTAGCATTCAGCTCACTCCTCTCCCGGATATTTGACATTGAAGGGGCACAGACCTTGAAGAAACAATGTTGGGTATTCGGAGTTGAAACACACAAAAACAAATCGCATTCAAAATTCGCAAAGAACAAGAAATCATTGTTGGGGCGCGCCGCCAGCAAACATGTTGCGAAGCGCTGGGTTGTTCAACAGAGCACTCAGATCGGGCATTTGACCACCAGCAGCGCCAGGAGTTGCGCCGTCATCCTCGCCATCGTCGTCCGGGTTGGCGGAAGCAGCGCCGGCTCCAGCACCTGCACCTGCACCAGCACCAGCACCTCCCATAAAACTTGAAGCCCTGCGAGACAAGGTTGTGTGTGCTCTTTTAGTGAAAAGGCCGATTCTCTCAACTTCTCGGCGAACCACTCGGACTTACAGATTGGCAAACATGGGATTGCTCATCAAGTTGGCAGCGGCAGGGGAGCTCATGAATTGCGAGGCCATGTTCATGAGGTTGGGGTTGCTCAACAGGGAGCCAATATCAAAGCCGCCAGGTGCGGCGGCGGGCTATTTTTTGTGGCAAAAAGAGCAGCAAAAGCAAAAACCAAAACCAGAGTTAGTCGTTGTCGCAACACCCAATTCCCTCCCCGCACCTCGAAAACCCCTGTCTTCACGACATACCGCATTGCCGCCGCGAGGAGCTGCTGCCTCAACACCACCTTCCTCTTGCGAAGCCTTCTCTGCGGCCTTCAGGTTGGTCAGGTACGACGAGTTGTTGGGCTCAATCTCCAGTGCCGACTTGTACGCCGAAATCGAAGCGTCGTACTGACGAAGTGCAAAGTATGCGTGGCTGAAAGAAGCGTGGGAGCAAATGAAAACAGACGGGTGAGCGATTTCGCTCTCGAGCGAACACAACAGCTTGAGCCGACCCTTTACCCCAAACGTGCGTGCGCCTTGCTGTATGTCGGATCGAGAGAGATGGCAGTGTGGCTGTCCTCGACAGCATCCTTGAAACGCTTGAGGTTGGTGTAGGCGGCAGCGCTGCAAGTTTCCAAATGGTAAGCGAAGTGCCAGTGCTGAGCTTGCTCTCCCCCCCCCCGCCCCTGCACAACCCTTTACATGCCCGCCCTCCAAGCTGCACTGCAAAAAAAGCACTCACCGGTTGGCAAAGTACACTGCGTTGGTCGGATTGAGGTCGATGGCGAGCGAATACTTTTTGACAGCACCGTCGTAATCGAGTGAGTTCAATCGCTCGTTGCCCTCTGCCTTGAGCTTTTCGGCCTCCGCGGCACGCTCTGCGGTTGATGCGTCGGACGGCTTGGCGCCGGCATCGACGTTGTGGTGGCTGACTGGGGATGACTTTGCGGCGTCTCCAGCTGGAGCGGCCTGCTTTGTTGCGCTGGCCGTGCTCACAAACATCTTGAACAGGCGCTGGAGGTTTGCGGGGCGGATGGTGAGGGCCGCCTGCTGTGCAGGGTCGTCCTTGTCGACGTCGTAGACTTGACTGAGGCATTGAATGGCCACTGCAGACGGAACAGCGATTGAGAAGTGAGTGACGGTGAGTGAGGTCTCTCATTGAGCAAAAAGCAAGTAGTCGCAAAGTCGAGATCGAGGAACGCGACACATGTCGATTGAGTGAGTGAGATCGAGTAAGGGAGTGACGTGAAGTGAGGTGTTTCGCAGTCTCTCATTGAGACAAACGCTCTCGTTGCAAATTCGTCGTCAAGTCAGAATGAATGACCATGCGAGGTGAGGTTTGTGAAAGTGAGAGAAAGTGTCTCTCCAATCGAGTCGAGTCCATTGGAAAAAAAAAAAACTCGAGATCTTTGTCCTCAGTTCAATGAATGAGACAAGCAAACCGACCTTCGAGGCTTTCGGTTGCTTCTTCGGGGAATGCCTTGGACGCGACCTCGGACGCCTGTCACACAGAACAAGAGAGAGAGAGAGTGAGTGAGTGAGTGAGCGAAGGAGCAGCGTGGACAGAGAGGTAAGGAGCACGAGGACCAGGCACTGTGGTACCACCACCAGTGTGTGCGAAACCAAAGGTACAGCACAAGAACGCGAGTAGAAAAGGCAAACAGAGAGAAGCGAGAGCGCGCGAGAGGGAGGGGGGAGGGGAGCACGTACGAGGTGCTCGATGATGGCAAAGGCGAGGCGCTTGCGGAGAACGCTGGAATCGTCAGACATTCGCGTTAGGCAAGTGAAAAATCTGAGAAAGCAACAAAGGCACCCAAAAATAAAAGAGAAATGAAGTGAATGAATTTGGAGAATACATGTACTGAACTTAGGGATGGAACAAGGGTAGATTGACAGAACTGATAGGAATCGAGCAAGCAATGGACCATCATCCATTTGTTGCTCGCGACCGTCAGATCTGTTTTTGCTCATTCTCTACCTTCTCAGACTGCTTTTTGGATGAGCTGCTCATTGATTGACATGCGTAAGTTGGTTTTATTGTCGAGTAAAAGCCAACGTTTCGTTGTTTTTGTTTCGTTCTGTACACACATATTCAACACATCACACAAGTTCCAAGCTTCACTGCTTGAGCTGAGCGGCCAGTGTACTGTCAAGCGTGTGCGTTGTCTTGTAGCCAACCTTGTCGGCATCGGAGCCATGCGTCAGTGCATTCTCGCCGCTGCCAAAAATGTACAACAGCTGGAGCACAACCGTGTTCCACGGGTTGGGGTCTGCCGCAATCTTGGCCTGAATGGCATCCAGCGGGCTGTACTCGACCTGCAAATCAGGGCGATACTTGCGCGCAGTAGCAACAACCTCGTTCCAGGTCAGAATGTCCGACGCGATGGCGAGCTCGGCGTTCTTGGACAACTCGGGGTGCAGGAGGGCCGCCGCGGTAAATCCGGCCACATCCGCACGATGCGCGAATGCGGTGCGTGCAGTGCCATCGCCAGGAATGGTGATCTTGCCCGAAGCCACGTCGAGGTTGGCCCAGTCGTAGAAGGTCGTGTCAGCAAAGCTTGCATTGTAGATGCGGGTGGTTTCGAGGCCAGCAGCGGCAGCAGCGGCAGCAACGTCATTCTTGAACTGGATGAAAGGGCGCGGAACCTTGGCATCGCGAGGATCAATGCCAAAGTCACCCGTCACATATCGGCGGACGCCGGCGGCAGCTGCGGCAGGGATGAGCTTGAATTGCTCGGCAAGGGTCGTGATACCATAAGAGGCAATGACAACTTCGGCACCTCGCAACGCAGCCACCAGTTGGTCGTGGTTGCTGGTATCGGCGCGAACAATAGTGGCACCCGCCGCTGCCAACTCTGACAACGAGGCCGCCTGAGATTCAGGGCGCGAAATGACGCGAACGTCAAACTTGGCAGCCAGAAGAGCTCGGACCAAGTACGCGCCAAGGCCGCCCGAGCCACCGACAACAGCGATCGTCTTGAAAGCAGTTTGAGTCATTTTGTGATTTCTGTTTGAGTGTAGTTTGTGGATTGTTGCTTGCTGTTGCTCTTGTTTGTAGAGTTTGCAAAAAAAGTGAGACTGCAAGGTTGATCGAATTTGGCCTTTTTATAGGGCGCAAACGGGGTGACCACCTCTGCCGGTTTGTCGTCGTCATCCGCTTGAATTATTCGCCATCACGTTTGGATAGGCAACTCACTCAGGGGGGAAAAGATTTGCCAATTGGTCATTTTCAGAACAGAGGGTTGGACAACAGTGATACAACGGTGAGAATCTAGTTATCTCCGTGCGAATTTAAATCCCCGCGATTTCACACCAGTCATCGCTCACGCTACCCATTCGACAGCTATTCGACAACCATGCGCCAACTCTCACCGTCTTCTTTGATTGTCGGAGGTGAGCAATGTTCTTTCATCGTGTTGCCTCCGTCGGTGAGGGGGAGGGGAACAGCAATGTGGCCGAGCTGAGAGGGAAGTGCGGAGCGTTTTCTTGGTGACCACCCGTGCTGTTGTCGTCGTCATCATCCATTCTTGTTCGTCATCCTCCTCCATCATCAGCATCATCATCCTCACCCTCTTCATTCCTCCATTGAGACTTAATTCTTTCGCGCTCTAGCCGAACGTATGGAAAGCTGAAACGATGCTCAGAGTTTGATTATTTTACTTTGTTACTTTCCTGTTTTGTTCTTTTTCTTTTGTTTGTGTTTCATTCATCGGACAGAGACAGCTTGGACAAGGCGCCAGTCAACCACGACGAAGAACTCGATTGCTTGAGCTGGGTCGAGCCGTTGGGATTATTCACCTGGATACGCGTCGAAGTAGCGGACGGTTCGGCGAGATGCAGTTGCCGTCGGCCGGCACTAGCGCTGCTGCTGCTGGTTGCTGGCGACGTGATGACCACAGTCGAGTTGCCGACAGCGTCGACTTGAATCAATCCAGCTCGCTCTTCGTGTCGAATGTCAAGATCGCAGGGCTGTGATGACTTGACTCGCAGCGATCCGCCTGCAAAAGAATCGACCACGAAACGCGGCCGCCCGTATTCCCCATCCATCGTCACAGTGCACTCTTCTTCGGCGTGCAAGGCACCAATGGTCCACTGTGAAGTAGTAGCAGTCGTCGTCTCTTGTGGTGGCTGTTGTGCGTCTGCGCCGCTGCTTCCGCTCGAAATGTGCAGCGTATTCGTGTACACATTCTGGCAATGAATGCTGCCGGCCTTGGACGCAAACTCCATCGACTCTCCCTGAGCCTTGGTGTGTATTTGGATTTGCCCTCGCCCCGCGCACGTCAGCTGCAAGTTTCCCAGCAGCGTGTCTGCATGAATGTCGCCGTCCTCGGTGGAAACGGTCACAAATGTGGCCTTGACAGAGTTCAACTGGCACGAGCTCTGGCCAGCCAGCGCGACACGCACTGCGTGGCTTTCAATCTTGGAGGCAGAGAAGGCGGTGCTGCCCGCGAGCGTGCTTGCATCCAATGCGAACGACCACTTGAGTGGAATGGTCACTTCAATGTGCTTGGTGGATTCCGCCTCTTGTCGCTGCTCTCCAGTCTCGACCAAGGCAAAGCGAAGGTCTGGACGGTCGCTGCTTGATCGGCTGGACCAGACATCGAGGAACGACGTGGCTGACGGATGCTCTGCAGGTTGTGATGGTCCATGTACTTGTAACTGCTGCGCCATCGGTGTGGCTGCCACGCTAACGCGACGTCGTTGCTCGACATCTGCAACAACCGACAGCCGAAGTTGCGTCTGGGCGGGTTGGGTGGCCAAACGGCTGCCACTCGCTGAATTGGACTTTGGCTTGGAGTGCAATCGAAGGTAGACCATCTCGTCCTCCACCCTCGCTGGCGGGTCCAGATCGACGCGCGCTAACTGCGGCAGCATTGCAGTGGACATCCATCGGCGGCTACTTGGCCACGAAGCTCGAGCGAGCGCAGCGACGACGACGAGCATTTCCAGATGATGTCAATATCCGAGTTGTGGAAATATCTGTCAAAGCAAAATAATCTCAGAACTGAGTAAAGGACTGTGTCTGAACATTTAGGAGCTGTAAATACTGTTTGGCACAGTGCAAGTTGGGCTCAGAGAGGATGAGAAGCGCTGGCTTTGAACGGCATTGTCGACAGTATGGCAAAACCCGAATACTGCTGACTTAAAAGGATAGTCTGAGGTTTTGTTCAGTCTTAGATTTCGTTGTTGTTCCTTGTTCAGAACTCTAGTCTGAGACGATGAGTTTGGCGCCACGAGGACTTGCGCTGGGCTTCCTGCCAACCCGCGCCGCCTTCGCCATCGCGACTGGCAGCAGTAGTGCCCTTGCATGCAGTATAACGCGATCGTCAGGCATGGCGCCGTGGACGAGCGCAGTGGCAATGCTGCGGCTCAGCAGCGCAAACGGCCTGTCGACTACCGCTGCCAACGCTGCCAACGCTGCTGCCAACCCACTGCGCACAGCATCCATGCACGGAACCAATGCAGTGCGAGCCAGCATGAGCAGGGTTTGGTCGGCTGAACGCGTCCCACCGAGCTTTGTCTCCGCCACGCTGCTCCATACAGCCACAGCAAGCTCGCTCCGTCCCACCGCGTGCACCACTGCTGCGTCAAGCCTCATGCAATTCAGGCATTATTCATCTGGTCGACCCGGGTTTATGCGCTCAAGCGAACACTGGCGCGATCGACGTAACCGCCATCTGAATTGGAACGTTATGAGTTTTAGAAGTATCACTAACCCACAGTGCGTTTGGACGTGTGCTTGAACAGTTGCACGATATGCAAAGACGTCCTTCTACGGAATCATTGTGCTTGCCGGTGCCGGAGCGGCAGGTTGGTGACAATCAGGAGTTTTTTTTGTTCTGGCCGGGGTACAAACAACTCATTCAACGTTGAGCCAAAAACAACCGCCTGATTAGGTTACATGCTGTGGAACGTCGCCTCCGAAATGTTCAGTGAAGAAAGCGTCGGTCGGATGTATGCCGATGCGCTTGATCGCGTGCGAGAGAACGCAGTGGTAACGCTTCGTTTTGCTCTTGTTGTTTTTCGCTGTTGTATTGAACAGTCACGTCTCAAGCACCTGTGCCTTATTTTGCTCTGTTGCCAGATTGCCAAGGTTGTCGGCCCCACGATCAGCGGGCTTGAAGAAGGCCGTGGTCAACCACGAATGGGGTGAGTGATTGCGAAATTGTCTCTGGATTGTCGTTTTTCCATTGACTCTGTTTTCCTTTTTGATGCTTGTGCATGTGACAGCGTGCAACAGTTTGACTTTGAAGGTGTCACGCACACTCGCCTCAACTTCCCAATCAAGGGTGAAAAGGGCGAAGCGACTGTTTCCGCAGAAATGCACTCGGTATTGCATCTCTGGTTGCCCTGTCTGTGCTCTCTGGTGCACGCATTGCTTACCATGTGACAAAAATCTTTGCTTCTTCTCGTAGGCACATGGCGAGTACATGTACCGGTATCTCTACGTCGAAACGCCTGGTAAGGGGTTTTTTTTTTTTCGGCTCTTGGCTCTTGTATCTGCCATATTCTTTCCCACACTGGTCCCATTTCGATGGCTGTGTTTTCTTTTGTTGCTCGAGTACCGTTTTCCAGTGGATATTCTTTTCTAATTGTTGTTGATCTTTTGAGCTCACTCTTCCATTGTCACTTTTTATTTTGTTTTTTAATATCCTTCTCCCGCATCTTTCGCCAGCTCCTCCCGGCAAGAACAAGAAGGCGAACGTGTACGTCATCATCCAACCACCTCCGGAGAAGAAGCCCGCTCCCCAAGCCAAGAAAGGCTGGTTTTCATGAGCCGTCTGCTGCTTCGACTTGCTCCTGTCTGTCGCCCACACTTGTTGCTTCATCATCATCATCATCATCATCTTCATTACGATCGATATAGACTTGCATTGTCGCCGTTGATTGCCGCCGGTTGTCGCGCTGCACACTCGCGTTCGCATTTGCTCAGAATGAGCAGGAAATCTTCTCAGACGAGCTCCGCCTCCTCACCCCTTCTCCTGACTGCAGACGCTGCTGCATCGCCGCAGACCGTTGCCGACGCTGTTGCGCAAGTGTGTCAGCAGGGCTATGCACGCCTGCCTCCGCGTGGCAAGCCGAGCCAGGCGCACCTGTGGACGGTCCTCGCTGGGATTGTCGTCTCAGAGCCAGTGCAGCGTGGAGTCGCGCTGTCGCTCGTCGCGCTCGCCACGGGGACCAAGTGCCTCGGTGCGTCCCAGCTGGCTCGCGATGGCACGCTCGTCAACGACAGCCACGCAGAAGTCCTCGCGCGGAGGGCGTTTCGCAGAGCGCTCGTGCAGGACATGGCGAGCGGCAAGCCACGCTGGCTCGAGCCCATCCAAGCGACCACAGCTGGTGCTGATGCTGGAAATCATCACAAGGATGCAGATGCTGATGCTGATGGAAGTCACACGGATGCAAGCTCAAGTGAAAACGGCCGTCCGAATGCAAGTCACACTCAATGGAAACTGAAGCCAAACCTCAGCGTGCACCTCTACGTCAACCAGGCACCGTGTGGCGATGCATCGATCTTCCCACTGGATCAGATGGATCCCAGTGAGCGCGAGCTCGCTGCGATGGTCTACCCGGGAAACAACAATCCCGGAAGCGGCGATGTTGTCGCTCATGCTGAAGTTGTTGCAGACCAACAACAGCTGCACGGCGAGAAGCGAGCACATCCCACCGAGAACGGTGAAGCCGATACCCATGGCTCGAGCACAGACGCGTCAAGCGCGACGGGAGCAACGGTCAAGCGGCCACGACTCGAATTTTCCCCGGCTGCGCAGGACATTCAGCGCACGGGTGCAAAGACCGTGGCCGACACACGCATGGTACTAGGCATTGCACCATCTACTGACGATAACGTGCCTGCACCCAAGCTCGATTCGCACGAGGCAGGGGCAGATTATCATGTGCAAGGCTGCTTGCGGACCAAACCAGGTCGAGGCGATCGCACGCGCAGCATGTCGTGCAGTGACAAGATTGCACTCTGGAGCTGCGTGGGTCTGCAGGGAGCATTGCTCTCGCAACTTATTCCAGAGCCGATTCCGCTGGCAACCGTAGTGGTGGGAGAATTGTTCCATTTGGAAGCAATGCAACGCGCAGTCACGCTTCGTGCCAACACTGCGTTCAATGAATTGCCCTCCGTTCGACGCCTGGCACCCCCAGTGCTTGCTCGCACCACGGAACGTTTTGTGGATGGCCGGCTGGCCAAGCTCGACTTGGCACGCACTCGCGGTCCAGGCGCTGCCGAGCAGCTTCAATCCGCGCCGTCGTCCATTGTGTGGTTTTCAGCCAATCCGTCGCCCGTGTTTGAAGTATTGATTCAAGGAAAGAAAGAAGGAGCCAATTCGCGAGTGCCCCCGCACAAGGCGCAATCCGTGCTGAGCAAGGCCGCAATGCTGCAAGCGGTGGAACCTCTGCTCGCTTCGTCGTCGGCGCAGGCATCGTCGTCCACTTACTTTCTGCTGAAGCAAGGCGCTGCGGATTACACTGCTCGCAAGCACGCCGTGTTGGCCACAACGCCCTTCCAAGACTGGCTTCGAAATGGCCAGTCTTGGGAAGAGTTTGCTGCAAGTCGCGAGAACGAGAAGTCATGAGTCGAACAAACTATAAACACCCCCCCCCCAATTGTCTCGTTGAAATGTATTAAAACAACTAATTTTTAATGATCAATTTATTTTTTCGGTCTGCTCGAGATCAGCGACGGCTCGATTTCCCTCCCGATCGTTGAGATGTGTTGGACGTTTCACCAGCAGATGGTGATGCTGCTGGTTGCCGTGGAGATTTTGGGGCGGATTTGCGTGCCTGTTGCTGCGCCAGTGCGGCTTGAACACGTACTCGCTTCTCTTCTTGTCGCTGCGCTTGGTCTTTTTCGCTGCGGAGCTTGCGCTCGCGACGGATGGTTCCCTTTTGCACCTTGTCGGGATTGACCGGCTTGCCGCCGGCCGGCTTCTTGACCAACTCGCCCATGGCCTGCCGCTCGCGCATAAACCGGATGGTTTCTGGGTCGAGATGGCGGAAGACGTGCAAGTCCTCAATCTTGTAGTATGCACGCGCGGGTGCTTGCAGCATGTGAACATGCACTTGTCCCAGCTCGACCGTCATCCAGAAGTCGCTGCCTTCTTGTTTAAAGTAGGGTTGTTGAGTGGTGCCGGGAACTTTGAACTGTTTTGCATACACACGAGCAAGATGAAAAACAGACACAGAGTAAGCGACTATTTTCTTCCTGAAAGCAACAACAACAACAAAGAAACCTACCGCAGCTCCGAGATCGCGGGCAAGAGCCTCCATGTGGCGCGAAGACTTGGCAGTGGCAATCAGCATCGTGTCAAACAGAGTGAAACGCTTGGGCGGCTCGGCGTCGAGATCTTTGGGGCTGGACTTGCGCGAGCTGGTCGCGTTCGATCCCGCAGCGAGCGTGGCCAGCGTGACACGATGCCGTGCAGCGAGGTCTGCTGCGAGCTCTGGAGGGAATTGCACATCGACGGACTGCGCCTCGTCCTCTTCTGCATTCTCCGAGATGCGGCCAGCAATGGCGACGAGATCAGTAACGGCGCCTCGCCGCAGAATCCGGGCCGCCTCCTCGACGACCAGCGACTTGTCCTCAAACATGTGCTGGAGGCGTTGGATGCGCTCCTCGGCCGTCTCAACAGGCTCAGCGACCTGCTCTGGCGCAGGCTGGGCTCGGGCTCGGAATGGCTGCGGCGGCGGCTGCTGGTTGGCGCTCCTCGCAGCGCGCGCGGCGCCCAGCGGTGAGTCCTCGATGGTCACCTGTGCGTCGTCGTCCTCCGAGGCAGCCAGCTCGCGGTGGACGAGTGGAGCGGCTGGTTGCAGTGGCTGGATGGCAGCAGCAGCAGGCGCCAAGACGGGCGATCGTCTCCGCGCATCCGCAGCAGCGCCGCGCGTTCGGCCGAGTCCAGCAGCAGCAGCAGTAGTTGTAGTAGTAGTAGTAGTTTTAGTAGTAGTAGGAGCGGTGGGAGACGGGCGGCTGACGATCGTGTTCGCAGCCAGGTGGGCGAGGATTGGGTCGGACGCGACTCGGTCCTGCTCCACGGCTGCGTCAATGCGATGAGCGCTTTGTTGATGGCCACCGGCATCATTGTTGCTATCGTCATTGCTGCTGAGAGCGGCAGTCGCGCGGCGTGGCTGCGCTGCAGTGCGTCTTGGCAAAAGTGCACGCGCTGAGGTCGCAATGCAGCGTCGACTCGCAGCGATCAGCGCAGCAGCACCAGCAGCACCAGCAGCACCAGCAGCAGTGGCCATCGTTTGTCGGTGGAGCGAATGAACAAATCAAGGACTGACTGAATTGTTTGGCCAAAGCTCCTCCACAGAGGTACCAAGGGGAGATGAGGATGGAAATCCAACATTTTGCTCATCAGACGAGGTTGGCGAAATCGTCCAAGGCACGGTGGAGTTGTGCAGCTCGCAAATCACCTTCCTCGCTCTCATTGGCAAACTTGGAGTTCATGCCAGGTAACAGGCTGTTCATTTTTGATCTATGATTTGAAAAGAAAACGATGAAGAAGAAGAAGAACAAAAATGGTGTCCAGATTCAAAACAAACATTAGATTGTTCTTTTCTCAGCAGCCAAATGCAGCAGCAGCTTCTGTGCTCACGTCATCCATAGCCACTGGCGCATGGGTTGGACTGCGCTTTTTGACAATCGTTCTCGAGCTGCTGTTATCTTCGGCAGTTCTTCCGCAAACCCATCCGCACACTGAAAACAGCATGTTGAGCCAATGCAACGGCTCTCTCTATCGTTCTATTGCTCTATTGTGCTCCTTATTGTTCACCAATTTTTAATCGTCCTAATTTTGACTGTTCTCAGCTTTCAGTCTTTTTTTTTTCTGTAAGCGTTTTGCATTGAATTGAGTTCGCGCCAAATCGTCCTTCGTTCCGCTGTGTCTCTCTCTCTCTCCCTCCCTCCTTCCTCCCATCTCGTTGTACGACTGATGGTCTTTTGCCACACGCTTCTGCCTCCCTCATCGTCACGGTCGCACCGCTGTTCCCTGCACCTCGACTCGCCAGTTCTCTGTTGCTTTCCTCCTTCTCTCGCCTCTCATCACTCCCCTCTTCGTTTGCACCCTTCGCCTTCCTCTTCCTCATTCTCATCGTCATCATCCTCATCATCCTCATCCTCCTTCTCTCCTTCGCCTTCGCCTTCGCCTTCTCTTCCCCGCACTGCGTTTCGTAACTCGCTTTTCCTTCTTTTTTTCTTTTTTTTTCTTACTTTTAGCTTTTTTCCCATCTCTTCTCTTTCCCTCCCTTCTCGTTTTGCTTCCACTTTCTCGTTTGCTTCCATTTTCACTTCATTCAATCTCCTCTTTTTGTGACTTGGTTGCTCTTCACTCTTCCATTCAAGTCTTCCCACGTTCGTCGTCATCATTCTCGCTCTTTTTTAAAAAAAAAAAAAACAAATATGAAATCGCGACCTTTTTCCTTCTTCTTCTTCTTACTAACTTCACTCACTTGACTCACTTGCGTTTTTGATTCACCATCACAGGACAACAAAGGGAAACCCCCGACAAGTTATATCAACCGACATCATGAAGTCAAGCTTCAAGGGCGAACACGATTTTGGTAAAATCAAAAAAAAAAAAAACGCACGCTTTTCTTATGCTGTGTATGACCGAACGGAGACCTTTTCGTTCATGCTGTGGTGAACTCGATCGTAGCAAATCAATGCTTTCCCCCGTTTTTCATCTTTTTTTTTTCTCTTTTTTTTTTTTTTCTTTTTTTGCGTCGTTCTTTTGTATTTTCTTCACTTTTCCCCCTTCCTTTGCTCTCTCTCTCTCTCCTCCTCCCCCTCTTCTCTCTCGACTCCACCCAATCCTCCCTCTCTTCCTCCTCCTCTTTCTCAAACCCCATCCCATCTCCGCGTCGCCACATCAGCCACATTTTGCACAGAACTCCCGAACTGCGCGTCATCATTCGACAAATTTTGCCTTTTTTTTTTCTTTTTTTTCTCGGCGATTTTTACGTCATCAAATCGACTCCGAAAAGCTCAGCTTTTTAACCTGTTTGTTCCTCGCCACAAATCTCAATCTGACTTTAACTTTTTTCCTTTTGCACTTTCTCACTCTTTTGTTGTCGTTCCATGACTGTAGAAAAGCGACGCACCGAGGCGCAGCGCATCCGTCAAAAGTACCCCGACCGCATCCCCGTAAGACCAACCCTTTCTGTTTGGCTGTTTCATCACCACTTGCATCACAACCCGACCATCATCATCATCACGTCGTCGTCGTCGTCGTCATCGTCTCACCTTCGTTACCGACCCCTCAACAACATTTCACAGGTCATTGTGGAGCGGGACGACAAGTCCGACATTTCTGACATTGACAAGAAAAAGTACCTCGTACCTGCAGACTTGACAGTCGGCCAGTTTGTCTATGTCATCCGCAAGCGCATCAAGCTCAGCCCCGAGAAGGCCATCTTTATCTTTGTCAAGAACGTGCTGCCACCCACCAGCGCGGCCATGGCCACAATCTATGAGGAGCACAAGGACGACGACGGCTTCCTCTACATTACCTACAGCGGAGAGAACACTTTCGGCCAGTAGATGAGGTCGAGGAAGGTCTCGCAAAACAAGGAAAAAAATTTCAAAACAAACAAAAAACAACAAAAAGGTTTCGTTTTGGCTGCGTCTTGAAAAGATCGGAACAACAAGAACCAACCGCCCATGATGCAACTTTGAAGGGGGGACCCCCAAACGGTCCGGCATTGTTGCTCTTCCATCTCGTGGCTCTTTGATGGACGTTTGTTTCTCGTTGTCGTGTCGCTTCAGTTGTTGCGCCCAAGCGTTGTGAAGTAGAGGTGTCGTTTATGTGCGTGGTCTGGTGTTGTTCTTTTCTTTTGGGTATTTTTTTTCGACAAAGCAGAGTGTTTGTGTACTAGTCTTTTTTCTGTCTGTTGTCTTGGAACAGTTCGATTTCTCTTGTTGTTGTTGTAATGTTCTTGTCAACACTTCAACGATAAAGGAAGCACTTTGCCAAACCATCTGCACTTGCAACCAGTTTCGATCACCAGCTATGCAGCAAACAAGTCACAGAGATTGTGTATTCACGCACGCATGAGGGTGTGTGCAACAACAACCAAGACGATTGCTCCGCAACCAAATTCTATCATCAACAAAGGCCCGACTCGTCAAGCCTGCCCGCCAAGCACCTTTTGCTTCAACGCAGTCAGCTCTTGCTCGAGAGCACGCAAGCGCGCCAAGACAGCACTTGAATCGGAGGCGTCGCCAGCCGAAGCAGGAGTTGATGGCGACCCTGAAGGCAGTGGCGAGGCAGTCATTGTGGCAGCAGCGCCCAGAACGGTCAGACCATTGGGGGAGACATACGACACGGCTCCTGCTCGCGTGGGTTGGAAGGCAGCCGCAGCTGCCGCGGTAACAGGCTCGGGACCCGCGTACAGATTTCCATTCAGCTCTGCCAACGAGATTCGCGGAGTCGCATTCTGATACAGCCACTTTTCGTAGTTGGCCTTTCGCGACGCGTACCACTCGTCTTCCAGCATGGAGAAGTAGACTGTGGGAGTGTTTCATGAGCGGGTGGTGAGCAATTCAGCCCCACTTGTCGAATCTGCATCCAACAACGCAAGCAAAGAGCAACAAACGAAACAGCTAGGCAACGTACTCGTGTCTCTGTTATTCCCCTTGGTGATGCACTTGCTTCGGAGAATACCCTGTGCAGACACAACCGTCGTCAGAATCGAAACGCTCGAAACCGGATTGGTCCAAATTGGACTCCCCAACAATCACATCTACAATCCAGTCAACCCCCTACCTCATAGACAAACCCCATGCGGGCGGCAGACTTGCGCGACTTTGCATTGAGCGCATTCGCCTTCCATTCGACGCGGCGGTAGCCCAGCACCTCAATTGCATGGCGCGCGAGCAAGTAGGCCGCCTCCGTGTTGGCCTCGGTGCGCTGAGCGGATGCAAAGTAAAAGATGCTCCCGAGCTCGATCGATCGGTCGTTCGGCTCCATGGTCATGTACGAGATGGATCCGACAATCTTGCCAGATTGCTTTGACTCGACAATCAGCATGAGCTGCGTCGCCGGCTTGAGCAGCGCATAGTGCGCCTGCATGGCTTCGGCGGTCTCCCACGGACCGTACTTCATGTACGTCCACACGGCAGCCTTGGTCGCGTCGCCGTGCGTCTCGGCAAAGAGCACCGGCACGTCCCGCTCCAGCTCGAGCGGTCGGAGTCGGCAGTACGCGCCCTCCAGCGTGGTATCCGGCGCCGGCAGCTTGGCCTGCCCCCAATCATCCACCATACCATGTCACAAGTTGAGCTTCAGCATTAACAAATGACAAGGTTTCAGTGTCGGAGCAGACGACATGATACAGTATTGTGCGTCCGAAGATGAAAACTGCAATATGAGGTTGGAAATAGAAACGGACGATTTGGTTTTTAAACATTTGAAATGGTACAAATTTGTAGTGCGATTTTGGACAAAATGCTATCGATTTGGTTTTTAAAAACACGAAACTGTCCAAACTGCGCCCGAGTTGGTTTTTGCCAAGATAAGGTCTGGTTTTTTGGCGCGAAAACTTTGGAATAAAAGCTTGAAACTGAAAATTCGCACTCTTGGTTGGGAAATTGCCACTTCATGTTTGGGATTTGCAAACACCCCCAGACGAACCTGCTCTGTAGCCATGCCCAAACGTCAAAACGAGGCGCAGGCCACCGAATCACGCGCGCCGCGGAAGTGTGTCCATCTAGAAGACCCCGAACGGAAGCGGATCATCGACTTGGCTGTTGATCGCGCCTTGCCTCTCGTCACGGTCGCCAGCATGCTCCATCACCCCATCAGCACTGTGTCCAACGTAGTGCAACGTTTCAAGGAGCGCGGAGAGTGGACGTCACATCACGTCAATCCCAAGGGATGCCGTGTGCTCACAGCGGAGCATCTCCATTTTCTCGAGATGGAGCTCGACAAGAACGTCAATGTGACCAATCAAGAGCTCCAGGACCTCCTCCTGACGACATTTGGCATTCAAGTGCATCAAGCAACCATCGGGCGTGCCATGTTACGACAGGGCTTCACGTTCAAGCGCGTGTATGAGCAGGTCAAGGTGAAAAATTCGCCTGAAATCAAAGCCCAACGCAAGAAATGGGCTGAGCTCTTCGAGGCTTTCCAGACACCTGTGGATCGCTTGTTCTACGTGGACGAGAGTGGATTTAATGCGAATCAGCATCGAACGCGAGGTCGATCTCGCAAGGGCGCGCGCGCAATCGTTCAAGTTGGCAGTATTCGTGCAGCGAATTTCACGCTCATTGCAGCGATCGGAATGAGCGGCGTTGTGTTGAATGAGATCCAGCTCGGAGGCGTGACTGGCCATGTCTTTGCGGAGGCAATGACGAAGCTGTTTGACAAGCTCGAGGCAAAAAACGCCGTCGACACCGCCGCGTCTGGCATCGCTGTGGATGAGCTCCCAGTGCAACAGCTTGAGCCCGACCTCCCCCTTACAAACGTGGTTGAGGACAGTGTGTCGATCAGTAATGCAGTTCACATGCCACTGCTGACGTCCGGTGCAGCGTCGTCCCAACCACCTGCCCCTCCCGCTGCAGTTGTGTCGTCTGCTGCGTCTGCAGCTGGCGGGTCAGCTCCTGCTTCCACCTCTGCTTCCTCTGCATCCACCTCTGCTTCCACCTCTGCTTCGACGACCAGAAAGAAGCGCCGTTCTCGTCGCAGGATTCTCGACGATGATGACAACGATGATGGCGGCGTCTACGTTCCACCACACGAAGAACTCATTCAAGACGAGATTGATGAGCACAATGACAATACTTCCTATTTCGTACCGAGCGAAGAGCACCCAGGTGTCAGCTTTCCGGGACATCATCGCTACAAAGCCTGGATCGTGCTCGACAACGCGCGCATTCACAAGACACCCGAAGTGCGCGAGCTTTTTGCACGCCGCGGGTATGGGATGCTCTTTCTGCCTCCGTACTCATCGTTCTTGAACCCGATCGAGTATGTCTTCAACCAAGTGAAGGCTGCGTTCAAGCGCTCCCGGCTGGAACCGAACGAAACAATCTCAAGTCGTATTACCGCTGCTGTTGGTACCGTGACGGCAACGCATTGCCAAAACACTATCACGCATGTTCAGCTCAAGTACTTTAATGCTTGTCACGAGATGCACGATGTGCTAGATTAGTTGGCGTGCTCTCCTTCGAAAGCTCCCTCAATGGCGCCCGCTCGCCTGTTTTGGGTGGTCGTTTGATGTGATCGTCCGTGTCATGTTACATGTATAAATACTGTACATGTATTATTGTACATCCATTTCAAATCATGTTTATTCTGCAACAAGCATCTGCCAAAGACTAGTCGATGGCTTTCAGGAGAACACCCCACAGTCCGGTCGGCCTTGCGTCCTTTCTTCACTCTACCCGTAAACCTTCATAAAACAAACATAGTTAAGCCTATTTATACATGCATGTACATGTATTGAGCGTATGCAAGCTGGAGCGCTCCACTGTGGAGTGCACATTGCGTTGTCATTGGTGCTGCAACTTGCTGGTCGTTAGGAATGATCGGAACAATCCACTCGGCATACGATTGCCACCAATTTAATGACACTATGATAAACTATGCAAATGCTAATGCTTACACCGAAATGGCTCGTGAGTACGAGCCCTGGGTGGTAAAGACGTCGCTGTGGAAGTAATTCATCAAAACTGTAGTTCGAGCTCTTCCCGAGCCCTAGCTTTCCCGCTAGTCACCCCAGCATCTAATGACCTTCCAAGATACATGATTCAATTCAAATACTTCCTGAAGTTGTTGGTAATTCTAACATCTCAAGTGGGTTAATTCGAAATACAAGCTTGCAAAAACCAACTCGTTGAAAACCAAATCGAACGCACAAAAACCAATTACGGAAAAAACCATTTTTCTCGCACTTTCAACCAAGCTACTTTTTTCCAGTCCGATTTTCCTCACTTCGTCCGCTCTAATTTCCAACCTCGCCTGCTGTGATTTCAACCTCGACTGCATAATACTGTATCATCCCGATCCCGACTCAATTTGAGCTGTTTGCTCCGCCTACTGTGTGATTACGATTGACAAATCCCCCATCCCCAGCATCCGGCGAGGGATGCACTGTTTGAATGCTTAGAGAAAAATGCAGGACTTTCTTGCTTACGGGCGTGGAGACAACTTGGAGGCCGAGCGTGGTGCCGGTTGGCTGAAAAGGGATGTACGACATGACAAGAACAAACAAACAAAAAAGACTACACGTCCAAGTCGGGTTTAAAGAAAAAAAATTAGTAGCAAACTGCCTGAATGAGAGAGAGAGAGAGAGAGAGGGGGGGGGAGATCCTATTCTTTTGTTTTCCTTTCCTTCTCACGAAACTGTCTTTCTGCACAAACAAGCCTGCGATTCATTTGCAAGTATTCCACCCGCAACACGCGTATGGTCCAAAGAGGGCGAGTGAAAATCCAATCTTTTAAACTATCAGAGTGGTGTTGTTGCGACCAGCACATGTGAGGTTGAAATGCACCAATCGACGACTCTTCAAGTGCGGGGACACAAGTCAAACACACATCTCCAACATCGTATTCACAAAAGCGCTCCAATTTCGCGGATTGCTGTTCCATCCTCAAAGTTTGTCAGAGCTTTGACGAGCTGCGTAAAGCTTGGTCGTAGTTCTGGGATGGAGTTCCAGCAACTAAGCATCAAGATAAACAGGTCAGTTGAGCAGTGCTCCGGCATAGACGGTCGACCACCAGCCTCCACATGAGCCAGTGCCTCAGCGCCGTTCATCTTGCCGTACGGCATTGCGCCGTAACTGGAGCATTCCCCTACCAGCATGCGCCAATAAAAAGTCAAATCTCGACGCAAGAGCAAGTATCAGCGGAAAATGACGCGACTTACAGGCTGTGACACCAAACGACCAAACATCGGACATGGACGAGAACTTGCGGAAGGTCATTGTTTCCGGTGCCATCCACTACAATCACCAACACAATCAGAATCACATACTACCAGCAGTGGAGCCATCTGACTCAACCCACCTTCACGGGAAGTTTGCCTCGCGTTTGCATGCGATAGTAATCTTGCTCATCCGTCAATTCGCGGGAAAGCCCGAAATCGGCAATCTTGACCACCATTCCTTGCCCCACAAGGCAGTTGCGCGCGGCAAGATCACGGTGCACAAAGTGCAGCGTACCCAAATACTCCATACCGAGAGCAATCTGGCGAATGGCATGGATTTGCTCGTTGTGCGTCCACCAAAGCGAGTGAGCCTGGGACTTTTGCAGCAGTGTACGCAAGTCGCCGTACTGCACAAACTCCAGCAGAACGAGATGAGGCTCTGACTCAACCAGAGCCGCAAGAAGGCGCACGACATTCGGATGTACAAACGGAGCCATCAATTTCGCCTCAGCCTCAAAGTCTTGGCGAGACTTCTCGTCAGCGTCGGCCTTGGAAGACTTGACTGCAACCAGCACGGTTGGAGACGCTGTAGGTTCAAGCAAGGCTCGAGCTCTTGTGGGCAACACGTTGAAAAGCACTTGACCCAGTGACACATCGCCAAATTCACCACTGGCAAGGTGCTTCCCAATGGTCAAGCCTTCGCGAACGCGACGAGAATTGCTGCCGGCAACATACGCGCTCGCATCATCGTCAACCACCTCCTCTGGCGGGGCGGTCGGGACAGCTTGATACGACTGTTGTTGACCGATCGCCGCTGGGGATGGAATGTCCGCTTTGTCGTGTGCTCCAGCCGAGTGGTTTTGAGGGGAAGTTGTCACTTCATCAGCCTCCTGGTAGATTGGATCGGAAGAGTCCTTCGCTTCTGGCTGCTGCTTCTGGTCGGAGGTTGAGCCGCCATCCTCGTTGTGAGATTCGGTCGAATCGGGAATAGGGGAGATTGTCACTTCTTCAGCCTCCTGATACATGGGATCGGCAGCATTCTGCGATTCTGGCTGCTTTTGGCTGGGCTTGGCGGAGGTTGAGCCGTCATCCTCGATGGGAGATTCACTCGAATGGGCCAGAGGAGACATTGTCATTTCAATAGTCGTCTGATCGATGACTGGACTGGCAGAGTCCTTCGGTCGTATGACAGAGCGTTGCGAGCGCCGGCGCCGCAACACGATGAAGACCACCACAATGAGTGCAATGACTGCCACGGACGCAACGACAGCAGCGATGATGGCTGCTGAAGATGAAGCTGACTCTTGAGAACCATCGCCTTGTTGTGCAATGGACGATGCAACGGATGCAGCAGATGCTGATGCGGTTGAAGCAACAGAAGCGGAGAGCGCCGAGGAAGCGGAAACAAGCGACGCGACAGATGCGGACGCCGTTGATGCGATTGACGCAGAGGATGCGGTAGCAAGTGAAGCAAAGGATGCCGAGATCGCCGAGGTAGCCGAAGCAAGAGATGCAACAGAGGCAGCCGAAGCAGATTGCGTGGACGCGACTGAAGCGATGGAAGCAAAAGGAACACAAGATCCACCCAGCATGCCAGAACCGTCATAGCACTGAGTGCATACAGACGACGAAGTGCAGTACAGGCAATTGGTCTCGCAACACGCACTGGACCCAGCGGCATAGCAGGTGGCACAGACTGTATCACACTCTACAACACAAATGTCAGCAAAGTGAACAAAATGGGAATTGTGGTCATCTCGAACTCTTACTGTAAGGTTGGGATGCACTGCCGTAGGTGCTGGGCGGAGCAACATTGTTGTCACCAAACGTAAAGTTGTTGGGGGCCAGATATGGGTAAGAAAGCGACAACGCCAAGGCATTTGGCAACCCCTTGAACAGACCCGGCGGCAAAGTCGTGATAGGATTGTTTTGCAAAGCCCTGCAGGTACGCAAAAAGTAAGAAGCGATCGAATGCGTGCAATGAGAGTTCATACTTACAAGGTAGTTAGCGCAGTCAGGCCTGTGAATGAAAAATCGGGAATGCTAGTGATCTGATTGCCGTCTAGATGCCTAAAAATGGAATCGCAAACGAGTGAGCCGTCTGTTCGTAGCCGTCCTGTCGGTTGTTTGCTTACAGATCTGTCAGCGCAGCAAGGTCGGTGAATGCGCCAGCAGGAATGCTGGTGATCTGGTTGTTTTCCACAGATCTACCGATATAGTCAGAAACGAGTGAGCCGGTTGTGCGTGGTACATCATGTGTTTGCTTGCTTACAGGTAAGTCAGCGCCGTCAGGCCGGTGAATGCGTCAGCAGGAATGCTGGTGATCTGGTTGATGCCGAGAGACCTACGGATGGAGTCATAAACGCGTGAGCCGTCTGTACGTAGCCTTTCCTGTCGGCTGCTTGCTTACTTACAATTCAGTCAGCGCAGGGAGGCCAGTGCATGCGGCAGCAGGAATGCTGGTGATTTGATTGTTTTGCAGTACCCTACCGATAGATTCATAAACGAGTGAGCCGTCTGCTCGTAGCCTTTCCTGTCAGTTGCTTGCTTACAGGGAGGCCAGCGCGGTCAGGCCGGTGAATGCGTTGACCGAAATGCTGGTGATCTGGTTGGTATACAAAGACCTGCCAATAGAGTCATAAACGAGTGAACCGGTTGTGCGTGGCTCATCATGTGTTTGCTTGCTTACAGGTAGGTCAGCGCCGTCAGGCCGGTGAATGCGCCAACAGGAATGCTGGTAATCTGGTTAGAATCCAGAGACCTACCGATAGAGTCAGAAACGAGTGAGCCGGTTGCGTGTAGTTCATCATGTGTTTGCTCGCTTACAGGTAAGTCAGGGCAGTCAGGTTGAAGGTGAATGCGGTTCCCGAAATGCTGGTGATCTGGTTGTATTGCAGAGACCTACCGATGGAGTTATAAACGAGTGAGTCGTCTGCTCGTAGCCTTTCCTGTCAGTTGCTTGCTTACAGGTAAGTCAGGGCAGTAAGACTGGTGAATGCGGTTCCCGAAATACTGGTGATCTGGTTGTATTGCAGAGACCTACCGATGGAGTTATAAACGAGTGAGCCGGTTGTACGTGGTACATCATGTGTTTGTTTGCTTACAGGTGAGTCAGCGCCGTCAGGCCGGTGAATGCGTCAGCAGGAATGCTGGTGATCTGGTTGGAGGCGAAATACCTACCATAGAGTCAGAAACGAGTGAGCCGGTTGTGCGTGGTACATCGTGTTTTTGCGTGCTTACAGGGCAGTCAGCGCAGTCAGGCCGGTGAATGTGCCAGCAGAAATGCCGGTGATTTGATTGTATAGCAGAGACCTACCGATGCAGTGTTATGATGAGAGATCCTTCCACGAAGATACGAGTAATGGGTTGATGATGAGAGTGATAATAGGGAAACAAGAGACTTCACTTATACAAAGCGACGAGTGAACACACTCCAAATACAGAAACACATCAATCCATAACACTCCGCCTTTCTTTCCCCCCTTTCGAGACATTCCCAAAGCACTAGCGCTTCTTGCGTTTGGCACTTTCCCGAGTAGGCTTGTCCGGGTTAGCCTTATGAAATGCCACCGTCATGCGATGGTGTTCTCCAAACACCTCCCAAGGCTCAACAGTCGGTTCCTCCACGCCTGTCCACTTGACCTTGTACCAGAGCGTTCCTTTGTCAATAAAAGAATCAACAATCTTCTCCGCTTGTTAATACTTTTCGCCTTTCATGTGAATGGGACGAGGCTCGGACACTGGCCGGCCAGGTATGCCATCCGCCCCCGAACGAGTGAGCCGTCTGCTCGTTGTCTTTCCTGTCGGTTGCTTGCTTACAATTCAGTCAGCGCAGTAAGACCGGTGAATGCGTTGGTCGGAATGCTAGTAATCGGGTTGGAGTTGATGTACCTATTGACCATGTGCTCGTCAGTCAGGAGGGCAATGCTTCGCTTCAAGTTTTAGCGAAACAGCAACACTTACAGTTTTGTTGTGTCGGTTGGGATTCCACTCGGAATGGCTGTGAGAGATATGCCATAGCAACTGACAACAGTTGCCACCGTGCAATCGCACACGGCCTCAGTGCCACATGCATTGGCTGCCTGTGCCAACTCGACGTTATTCGTCCCGCAGAACAGCAGAAGCAGCAGAGAAAAGGCAAATCCGCTTGTTCCCATCTTGAGTGTTTGGATCTGCGACAATAATTGACAGAGTGAGAGAGTGAGCATCAAGTCACATAAACCAACACTCTCCCCTCTCCCGTCAATGTCAGAGTTGCTCAGTGCCAGTTATTGTGTGGAAATCAATGGCTTAGTGCAGACAGAGTGTTCACGCCCCACAAGTCTGCAACTTTGCCTTGCCCCTCCCTCTCAGTGCGCCATTATTGCTCACTTTACACTGCTTTCTTTGACGCAAATGTGCCTTCAAGTGCGCCAGGGTGAACGAGGCAGTTCGATCATTGGTCTGCAAAGGGTGTTGCATGTGGTTCCAACACGAGTCGCGGGCGGCCCTGCTGCGTTCCATCCCGTCCTCTGCTTGATTGAAGTAGCTTGCTTTCAACAGTGCACAGCAAAGAATCAGAGGCGAGAAGAGAGAGAGAGACAGAGAGAGAGACAGAGAGACAGAGAAAACGTGCAAAACGCTCCTTTCGTTCAATTGCTCAGCCAGTTGAGATTGGATCTCAGGAAGCGAGCGATTCGAAAAGTGAACGGTGGCTTGCTGCTGGAGCTTGTTTGGTGGTGCGTGTTCGCTTACTTGTTGGTACAGACGAGACCAAACGAGAGAGGAAGCGAGGGCGGCGGGGAGGGCGCCGGGGTTGAAGAGAAGAAACTCAAGAAACAAAGAACAAAGACAGCAACAAACAAAAAAAAAAAAAAAAAATAGTCAAAAAAAAAGGAGAGAGCGATGGCAAATCGGTGTGGCTTCTGTTTGCTATGCTTCTCGGTTTGAATCGCAGCTGACGATCGACAAAGCGGAACACAATCATTCCAAGGAGTATGATTGGAGAGCACCGTTGCTCCCTGAGGGGGTTGACGATCAAGGAGATCGCGACCTTGCTAGATCTACAACCCACCTCGCATGGCGAGCCAATTCCATGGACCGAAGCAAACGAGCATGAAACACGCCCGTTTTGCCATGGCTGTCATGATTGACAGGTATCGTGATGACGGAGCAGTGTTCAAGAGCGCGGCCGACTTGCGAGAGTTTTTGATTCTCGTATAGTATACGCTGTCCTTGTGCTTCGATTCGACGTGGCAAGATCAGGGATCTTCGTGTTGCTCTTCGAGTACGGTTGCGCAGATGAAATGATATTGATATTGATAGGCTATAATACAGCACAACATTGAATCCAAAAACGAAACAGCCAAACCGGCTTCCTAGACACCTCAAACAGCTTCGACAGGCTTAGCGCTTGAGAGCAGAGTAGTAACGAACGCCCAACACCACGAGCGTGGCCAGAGCAACGTAGTAACCGACAAGAATGCCAAAATCGCCCCACTCTGTTCGCCAGAAATGACCGCAAACAAAGTCAAAAAATTAGTCAAAAGCCAACCCGCAATCATCATCGACCAACACCACCAAAAGGCACTTACGGCGATCGTTGAGGTCAAAAGAATCCAAAAGATCTTGGCCATTGTTCATGATGCAAAACTTGTTGGACTCGCTGGAATTGTACGGGTTGGTAATGACAATCGCTTGGTCGCCCTCGCACTCAAAGATGCGGCCCCGGAACTCGTTCACAGCAAGCGCCTCGATTGCGTACACCATGTAGTTCATGTAGGCAAACCAACGCCAAATCCACGACATTGATTCGATGGGGATGAGGAAACCAGCCAGCAGGAACTGCGAGAGAGCCAAAAAAAAAGGGGGAAGGAAATAAGAAAATGAGAAATTGCTGCTCATCTGCGCTGCACCACGAGACACGCCAGCTCAAACCGCAGTACGTACAAAGAAGGTCGAGAACATGGGAGCCACAACGTTCGCCACTGCTTGGTTGGCAGAATACACGGCAACCGTTTGAGCAAAGGTGTTGGCGCACAGGAAGGTGACAAAGTAGATCAGAACAAAGAAGAAGAAGCGGTCCACTTCGACGCTCAGGTTGCTCATCCAGTAGAAGGGCACAACGAAGACGATGAGGTAGAAGACATGGAACGGGTACTCGACAAAGAGCAAGCTGATTGACATTGCTGAAGTGTGATAGGTGCCGCTCGCCTTTTCACGATAGAACACTGTCACAAATCACCAGAAATCAGTCAGAGTTTGCAACAAGTCGCACAGCGCCACACTTGAACACTCGTGTCAAAACAACTCACCAGCACGCAAGTCCAGAATGTCACCCATGGACGACTGCGAGATGAAGGACATGAAGACAAGACCAAAGAAAATCAGACCAATGCGACCGGTCGCGCCAGCTGTGTAGGGTCAAAGAGCAAACAACCAACGAAAAAACAAGCAGAAATCAGTCATCGGTGCAATCAAAGCGTCAACCATGAAACAAACATCTCCACATCAAAGACCCAAAAAAACCATACTTGTATCGTAGTTCAGTTGCCAGAACAAGGATCCCAGCACAAGCGACATGATGAGGTAGGTGCCAAGACGAGTCTTGAAAAGGGCCGGGTTGCGCCAGGTCATCAGCCAGGTACGGTAGGCAACTTCCTTCAGTTGTGTTCTGAACGATGTGGCAAAGGGAGTGTCAAAGTGCGGCGGCTTGACGTCCGGGGTGCAGACACCCTTGGCGAGTGCATCCTTGGTCTTTTGGCAGTTGGCCGATTCGCGCCATTGCTGGGCGCCATCTGGCTCGTTGGTCTGGCAGACAGTGTCCAAGACCCAGTCGGCCACGTTGCGATCATAGGTGAACTCGATGCCAAACTTTTCCTTGACGTAGGCCAGGAGCAGCGAGGCGCGCTCGCCGACAGGGCCAAAGAACACTTGGTGGCCTCCCTTCTTGAGCAGCAGTAGGTGGTCAAACATGCCAAAGATCTCGGCCGAGGGCTGGTGGATGGTGCAAATGACGGCGCGACCACTCTGGGCAATTTGACGAATCTTGGACATGACCAGTGCGGCGCCAAAGGCGTCCAAGCCCGAGGTCGGCTCGTCCAGGAAGAGAAGCGGCGGGTCTGCAATCAGCTCGATGGCAATTGTCAGACGCTTGCGCTGCTCGGGCGACAGACCGCCCGACGTGACAGTGCCAATCAGATCGTCCGCAATGTCTTCCATGTCCAGCTCGTACATGACCCTGTCGACGCGAGTGCGCTTCTCTTCGATCGAGATGCTCTCGGGCAGGCGGCACATGGCAGCGAACAGAACGGCCTCCTTGACGGTGTGCTGAGAGAGGTGAATATCCTGCTGCTCGCAGTAGCCAGAGATGCGCTTGAAAAACTCGTTGCGGGGACCGCCGTTGATCTTGATGGAGCCAGTGATTTGACCGCTCGTCTTGCGATCGCCCAGGACGTCCAGGAGCGTGGTCTTGCCAGCGCCGGAAGGACCCATCAGAGCCACCAAGGTACCGGGCTTGACATAGCCGTTGATGTCCTGCAACAGAGTCTTGGTGAACTCCTTGTTGTTCTCGTCCTTGGTTTGAACGTCATACTTGAGGTTGCTAAACTCGAGGAAGGCCTTCTGGTTGGGCTGCAGACGGGAGACCACGGCAGCCGCGGCGGTAGCAGCAGCCACCGACTCGGTGCGACCCTCGCCAAGGTACAAGTCCTTTTGCTCTTGCATTTCTTGGGCAAACGCGTTGGCTTCCTCGCGGCGCTCAATCATCTTGCGGGACAAGAGCTCGCGGCGGTGCCTCAGGGCCTCCTTGGACTCGTAGTGCGGGTTGTAGCTGTGCGACTCGCGCGTGTACTTGACGGCAAAGAACGAGACCACCAGGAAGAAGAGCCAGTAAACGTAGATCAGGATAATGTCCCAGGTGTGCCAAGAGTCGCCCAGCTGGGCGCCCACAGACATCAGGTACTTGTCGCCAGTGGGAAGAGGGCAAACTTGAGTGCCGTTAAAGCCACCAGCCGAGAACGGCAGGCTGTAGAGCGGCGACGAGGTGGGCGGGATGAGCTCGTTGGGCTCGCAATACAGAGTGCGACCGGAGAACTCGTTCAGCGCAAGACCTTCGTAGGTGTAGTGCATGGGGGACAGCCAGTACATCCAAATCCAAAAGTCTTGAATGGCCGACGGCGAGAGGATGAAGCCTGTGAACAAAAAGCACAGGACGATGGACGACGGGATGATGGCGTTGGCGAGGCTGATTGTACTGTTGGAGCAGCGCACAAACGAGGAGGGAGGTGAGCAAGCCATGAAGGAGAAAACGCCGGCACTCCAAACTTCTCAGAGCTTGTGTCGACTTACGGAATCATCGCTGAAAGAGCACGGGCATACGTGGTCGACCAAAGAGCAGAGCCAATGCACATGAACATAAAGTAGAAGAAGGCCGAGGCAGTTGAAACAAATCCGACGGCAAAGTAGATGACGCAGACAAAAATCATCGTTTCGAGCAGCAGACCAGGGAAATCCGCGAGGTTGACCGCCAAAAAGTAAGCAAACGGCTGAAAGTACTTTGACTTTCGCTGCAACAAGTACACATCACGCTCGGCCAGCAATTGAGGGATTGCGGCGCCACCTGTTTTCAAAACAAGTCGAGTTGCAGAGCGAGCTGTAGTCAGAAGGTCTGTCGTCGAAACTCCCCGCATACACACACGCACACAGACACGATAGCTTCTCAACCATACCCATAAAACCAAAGTGACCAACGGCAGTCGAAATAACACCGAGCTTGTTGCGGGAATCGCGCTGGTTGTCGCCCAGCTGCAAGAAGACCGTGGCGAACAGCACGGCCGTCATGATGCCTCGACCGATGCGAGCCTTGAAGGCGGTGGGATCGCGGACTTGCATCTTCATGGCACGCGAGAGGGTCAGCTTGAACTGGCGCCACAGCTCGAGCGGGTACTTGCCAAACTCGTCAATGTGAGCCGCGGGCGGGCACTCCTTGGGCGCAACGCCCTTCCACAGGCGGCGACCGAGGGCGGCATACAGGTCGCTCTGGTGGAACTTGTCGACGAAAAAGTCAATGTCAAGACCAACGCTCACCTCGGGAGCCACAAACTTTTCAGGGTGGTCGCAGCACTGGGCCAGGAACTCGGCAGGGTTCATGTTCTCGGGGCAATGGAGACCCAGGCTGGCAAAGTAGTCGAGCACGCGACCGCGCGGGCCAAAGTACGTGATGCGGCCTTGCGAGAGGATGCACACTTGGTTGAAGAGCTCGTACAGCTCCTTGGAAGGCTGCAGAAGCGCGGCCATGCATGGGAAGCCGACATCTGCAATCGAGCGAACGTGCGACAGCACATTGAAGGCGGCAGCAGAGTCGAGGCCAGTGGTGGGCTCGTCGAGCAACAGCATGTTGGGGGTCTTGAGCATTTCAACGCCAATGGTCACGCGCTTCTTCTCACCGCCAGAGACACCGCGGATCAGAGCGTTGCCGACAAGCGTGTTGGCAGCATGCTCAAGGCTGAGGAGCTTGAGAATGACGTCGACGTGGGAGGCACGTTGCTCGGCAGTCATCTCGCGGGGAAGCTGCAGCTCGGCAGCAAACTCGAACGTCTCGCGCACAGTGAGGGTTGGCGTGTGGATGTCGCTCTGGGGAACGTAGCCGCAGATTCGGTTGAAGTTTTCCGGGACTGGAAGGCCATTGATCAGCAGGGTGCCGTTGCGATCGCTGGGGAGGCGGTTGGCGATGGCCTTGATCAGGCTGGTTTTGCCGCAGGCGGGGCCGCCGAGAATGGCAACCATGTCGCCGGGCTCCATGTAGCCCGAAATGTCATCGAGAATGGTAAACTCGACCTGCGGCGGCTTGGCACGGAGGTGCATGGATTGGAGCAAGTCCGAGTAGACGGTGCTGACTGTCTGCTTGGTGTTGATCATCTTCTTGTAGCTCATGTCTCGGAACTCGACAAACGCACCGAGCATGCGGCCCGGGAAGAAGCGCTCGACAAAGTTGACATAGTACGAGCGCATGTCAAAGTTGGGGTCGTTGAGGTCGACAACGAGGCTTGCGCTGCTGGCGGATCGGTCGGCGGATTCGCGCAACGGGCGGTAGGCCTCCTTGAAGTCCTGCGGGAAGAGGGCGCGCTTGGGGTCTGTGTGCGAGATGCGCGACGGGTCCAGGCGTGCCTGTGCGACTGCGAGCAGTGCCGGGTTGGCTGCATGGATTTGGTCGGCAACGAGGTCTTCGACGGGTCGCGTGGTTGTCAACTCAATCTCGTCGAGCTCAATGTGCACGTGCTTCTTGTTGCCCTCGACGGCGTGCGCGTACGATCCCGAGCGCGGTCGGCTCGCGTCTACGGCGAGGTTGTCCGTGCTCATTTTGAGTGCAAGTTCTGCAGAAGTTGAAGGTTGGGCGTGGGGGGTGTTGTGAAGGGGAAAGAAGGCAACGTAGGGTGAGTGACAAATGACAAGATTAAAGTAAGAAGCGAGTATGGATTGAATCAGGCGTTTTATGCGTGCAAGTGTGTGTGTGTGTGTGTGTCGCAAAGTGAGGTGGAAAGTGGGACTCGATAAGGAAGGAGCGAAAATAAAATTAAAAAAAAGCAACATCAAAAGCAACTGGCTTTTGGGGAAAAAGACGAAAGCGAAAATGAGAAGCCGAAAAACGAGTCAAAACGCAAGCCGATCGAAAAAAAAAAACCGCAACCAACTGACTGTGAGTGTCGAAATGGAGACGATGCTCATCATGCTTTGGTAAGGAAATAAAAAGGAAAAGGGATGGATTAGAAGGAAAGAGACAGACAGGGGGTTGCGAGGGTTGGGGTGGACGAAGGGAAGAGGGAAGACAGAGACGAGGGCGAACAGGTGGGCGGAGCCGAGATTCAGAAAAAAAAAAAGAGAAAAAAACGAGAAAAAACGAAACGTTCGCACCAGCGGGAAGCGCACGCACGAAGGGAGAGAGAGACAAGAGGTGAGATGAATGGGAGAAGAGCAAAACAAACGCACAGTACGAGGACGGAATGAATTGAAAAAGAAAGAAGAAAGAAGAAGAAAGAATAAAGAAAAGAATTAAAAAAAAGGACTGACTGTGGTGAGATTGTTCATCCGCGTGCGTTTTTAAAGGACTTACAAAACAACAACAACAAAAAAGCGAAACCGTAAAATACAAAAATCAACGCAACGCAACGATGCAGCGAGACCGCAATCGCGCCGTTCCCTTCCCTTCCCTTCCCTTCCTTCGCTCTCCTTCCCCCTTTGCTCACATGCGTGGATCACACACACACAGAGTGAGATGTACAGCGAGAGAGCGAAAGAGAGAGCGAAAGAGGAGACCCGGAGATTTTGTCACCAGCTTCAAAAACCGCGTCGGCTCGATCGGCTTCGGTTTCTTCGGCATCATCGGCATCGCTTTTTTTTTTTTTTTTTTTTTTGGAAAATCCCGCTTTGTGTGATTCTCCCCGCATGCGACATGCTGTTCCTCAGTTCATTGGACAGCGATGAACAAACAAGGAGCATTTCGTCCATCCATCCATACAGCAAAAGCAGTGAGGTTGGAACGCAAGCGTCAGATCTCAACTGCTGGAGAATCGATTGAGAGTGAGAAACTCTGTGTTTTGTGCAACAAAAAGTCGTGTGAGCGAAAGGGAGTGAATTGTCGTCGGTAATGGTCGACTCGTATTGACAGTACAACTAGGATGAGAACAGACGATGAGAACAGACGATCGCAGTGACTCTGCTGCTGCTGCTACGGTGGTGCGAACGGGCAGAACAAAGCGTTCCCGCAAGCACGCTGCGTTTGTGTCAATCGATTGACTCGAGTCAATATTCATGCATCTTTAGACGTGAGGTGTGAGGTGTGAGGGATCTTGCGGGGTGCGGGGGAAAGGACAGCAGCGGTGCGGAAACAAGTTGCCAACACCAACCAGAATGGGGAGAGTTTTGCACAAGCCGAACTCGGAGCCGACCGACAGAAGAAGAGAGCGATGGAGGTAGAAGGGAGGGCGGGGGGCAACAACCAAAATGCAAAGTCGTGTGACGTGGCAACATGGCATAATGGTGGTGGTGGTGTTGGTGTTGGTGGTGGGGGAAACGCAGGGCAAACCGAAGCACGAGCGGTAACAAAGATTTGGCTGAACGGCAACCTGGATCACGCCGGAAAGCAAGCGACATCCGCATGATCGAAATAAAGCTATACGTTTATCATCACAGTGATAGGTGAATGAGGAAGGGGGTTTGAGAGTAGCAACTCAGAGTGACTGCTTCAGAGTCGCTCAGACGGAACAGTGGCATCTCAGTATGCCGCCCACTTCACCCCATCCCTCTTTGCATTACTCTTACTTGCTTTACTTTTCTGTCCATTCAGTCGTTTTAACATTACACAAAATGCTGAGCAGCTCAGTGGTGCGATTGGCAGCAGCGCGCGCTGTTGCAAGCTCGTCGACGCCACTCTGCCATTACTACGCAGCCCCACTCGCAGTCACCCGCCATCATCATCATCATCATCATCATCATCATCATCATCATCATCATCATCATCATCATCATCATCATCATCATCATTACGCTATGGCTGCCACTGCTGCTCGGGTGCTGCCCAGTGTCAGCGCCAGCCTGGCTGCCTCTGCTTCAGTCCCGTCCCTCTTCCACTCCGCTCTCAGCTCCGTTTCGACCTCGCCATCATCACCATCATCATCACCATCATCATCACTCCTTGCACTGTCATCGACGCTCGCTCGGCGCGGAATGTCGTCCATGTCCACCGCGTCCGCCGTCGACGTCCTCAGCCACCAGGACCCGTCCAACCCGAGCGTCCTCATCGACTCGTTCAGCTCAATGGGATTCACAGTCAACGGCGTCACCTACGTCGGATCCATGGCGCTCTTTCCGCGCGTCCCTTTGCTCTGGAACGTATGTATTTCCAAGCAAACTATCGTGCTGAGGTCATTTTTTCTGAGATTCTGAGTTGTTTGGATGTTCGTTTTTGTTTTGTTTTTGACAGGTCAAGTCAGTCGAAGAGCTCACGCCAGAGAGCCTCACTCTGTTCCATCTTGTCAATCCAAAGATCGGTGCGGTTTTTGCCCTGTTTTTGAAGAGTTGTTGTTGTTTCACAACCTGCTCAGTTGAACTGGCGATGTTTGTAATCAGAACTGCTGCTCATCGGCACCGGGTCCAAGATTGAGACGATTGATCCGGCCGTGCGCCAGATGCTCAAGGAGAAGCGCATTTCCCTCGAAGTGCTGGATACTGTGAGTTACGAGTTTCGTTGTTTCATCATTGCGAAAATCGACATTGGCCCATTGATTTTCGTCGCCCGTCTCCCTTTGTCCCCAACAGCCACACGCTGCAACTACCTTCAACTTTTTGTCTCAAGAGGGCCGGTTGGTGGCTGCTGCACTCATCCCCATTGCACCAGAAACCCCCGCCTCGACCAACCCCTAAAAGCCCTGAAAGGGGAAACACCAAAAACCAACACAAACATCCTGTCAACATAATATACTTGTACAACATACAAAACACTTGCTGTGAGTAAAAGCTTTTCAAACACGACGTTTTAGCTCGAGGAGGCATCGGCGTCGGGGCTGGAACTTGGGACGAGCGAGTTGTAGTGCTCGCCGAGCCCATACAGATGTCGGTGGTAGGACAACCTCAGTGGCTCGCCCGGAAAGTCGGCACCCAGAGTGACGACCGGGGAGCCCGCTTGATAAATGTGAATGGGCACTTGGAGCCCGGCAGACAAGGCCTGCGCCTCGATTTGGCCTCCCCATGCGGCGGTAGACGCAATCTCGTTGCAGTACTTTTTCAGCTCTGTCTCGGTATACATGTCGCCTGAGTCGGTGACGAGGAATGGCAGGAAGTCGTCCTGGTGCGCGAGAATAAAGCTGGCGGTCAGCTTGCGCAGCGCAGCAAAGTCAGTCGGCGCTCGTGCAACCGCGTTCCGACGGAGCTGATCTGCCACAGCATTGTACAGGCAATGTCCGTCCGATGTGATGGTCTTGATGGCCAGGTCCGCCTTCTGCAGGGCCTGCTTGAGCTGGTTGGCCTCGACGTCGCGTGCGCTGGGACCACGCGCGGCAGTGGCCTGGTACTCTGCCTCCGCCCGCTGCATGCGCTCGCTGTGCGCAGTGGCCTTGTTGTCCCTGCGCTTCTGCGCGCGTGTCGGCTTGCTTGTCTTGTTGCTGCTGCTGTCATCTGCAGCGTCGTGCGCCTCGGCCTCCTCCGACGTCGCCGCCGCCAGTTCCGATCCTCCAGATCCTGCTCCGTTGGGCTTGTTCGCAGTAGCAGCAGCAGCAGCAGCAGCAGCCTTTGCCTCCTCGGCCTCGGCGGCCTTGAGCTCGGTCGCGTGGCGCTGCGCGGTCTCGGCTTCGAGCTCTTCAATCTGCTTCTGGACGTCCTTCTTGCGCTTGTTGTCGCCCTTCGGAACAGACTTTTTCAATGCCTGCACCTGCGATTGCATGGCTTTGATCTCCTTGCGGTGCTTGGCGCGGACCTCCTCCAACGGCGACTGCAGCTCGCTGTCTGAGCCGGATGCAGCCTCGTCGTCGTGGTCGGACATTCTCAGACAAAAAATTTAAAAAAAAAAGACTGAGAAATAAGTTAAGTGTGACTAGGATTGGACGAAAATAACAACAACACGGCTCTGTTTCATCATGGACGAGAAGGCAACACGGAAAGGACGAGTAGTTTGGTCCAATACACTGTGATGAGCAAACGCAATCTCACAAGGTTGGCTACAACCAATGCAGATCCAGTACCAGTAAAGTAGAAATGCTGTTGAACGAGGCGAAATCTGCAACAGCACTCAGATTCATTGTCAACTTCGAGACAATCATCCACTTTTGAGCTGTAAATAGCTTGTAACTTCAGTGTGTTTTTTATTCATAATAGCCCCTTGTTGGTTGGTTGTTCAGCCGAGGAAGTTCATCACAACAAAGTGCAGAACGACATGGCAGAAGAGAAAGTCTGCAAACGAGCGTTCCCGCGAAATGTTCTCAAATCCGTTCTTAGGGTTGACTTGCAGACGAAGGCCGACTGTGCCAGAAATTCAAACAGGACGAGAGTATTAGAACAAGAGTGAGTGGTGAGTAGTAGAACAATCGAGTGAAGGGGTTAAGCTCGGTAGGTTGAATGCGAGTTGACTGGACCGAGATTGGTACATCCAATCCGCCACTTCCCCCTCACTAAGTGTGCCCTTCCGACTAAACATGAGTGGTTAAAACGATCGTAAAAACGCTTCAATGGTTGAGGGTTTGATGCTCAATGCCAAACGTGAGTTTTGACTGGACCAAGATTACGATCCAAATCCTCACTCGCTGTTGAACCTGCTTTGGCCAGTAGTGAAAAACGCCCAGGCACCCCTCCTCGAGTAAACCCCATCGAGCCCCACTTCCTTCCATCCGGAGTGCGTCGACAGACCTGTCGACCAGAACGCGCATCCAAAAGAGTTTGCCGAGATCGCTGGTTTACGATTGAAAATTTTGTGCTTTTGAGCCAGTGAGGCAACAACGAGCCCTGGGGCCTTGATATCAGCGCGACAGAGAGAGACAAGAGAGACAGAGAGACAAGAGAGAGAGAGTGTGTGTGTGTGAGCGAACGAGAGCGGTGAGGCGTACCTGCGAGGACAAAGCTGCCAATCGTCGAGATGAAGCCAGCGAGGAAGGCGTTGAAGGGGAACGTGCCGACCAGCGCACAGTAGACAAACTGCGCAATGCCAGTCAGCATAATGTAGACAAGGTATGCGTCGATGACCTTGATCAGCTGCGGCGTGTCGGCAGTGTACCGCTTGGCGAGCACAGCGACAACGTTCCCAATGCTGTTTGGATTGCTCATGGTTGAACTACTCAAAAGAAGGAGACTGGGCGCCGAAAATGATCTCAGACAGGACTAAGGTGAGGTAGCAGATCAAGTTGACTGAGTGAGGTGGAAGAGATCATCTCAGAGGCGTCTGTGCTGAGCGAATTGGAACCCAAAACCAAAACCAAATCTCAGAATTCAGCCAATCTGCATTGCGCTCACTTTTAGCTAAATCCTCCATCGCAGCTACATCCTCCATCGCATCCAGCGCAGTGACTTGCGTTCTATAGGTGGGATTTTTGTGTATTGATCCCAGGATTGAGCGGAACCGCTCAGAAACGCTCAGAAACAACAATGGATTTCAGCGATTCAACGCTGGCTTTCCCCAACCCCGCTCTTTGCCGCTACAAACATCGAAATAACATGCATAGCACGTTGTTTAAAATAGAACTGTCGATGTGGAGCTTGGGCTCCATTCAACAGCTCGAAACACAACGAAACGAAACGAAATGGACGAACAACAAAAAAAATCAATTCATCATTTCGGACGGGCTCGCTCTCTCCTTTTCTGCTGCACCTCCAACGGCTGTTGCTGGTAGGTCGCCATCCGCGAATCCAATCTGATGCAGGACGACCTGGTGTACCCGATTCGCCGTCGAGGGGTACCGGGTGCAATGGAACGAAGGGTCGAAACGAGCGGTGCGAGATCGGGGCAACGAAGGGGGATGAATGGGAAGCGATTTTGCATGTCGCTCGATCGCCGTTCCTGTGCTCGCAGTCGCGCACGCACGACCCCCGCGTCTCATGGCGCGTGCTTTATTGAGAATCCTGACAGCTAGGTGTGGGAGGGGGGGGAATGGGCAGCGCTGGGCTGGTTGAGCAGCTCAAGTAGCAGCTTTGATCGTGCGCTCCCACGTCCCCCTTCTCCCCTTTGCTCTTGCTTGCTCTTGCTCTTGCTCTTCCTGTCACGACTCTCGATTTCACTGCGAAAACCGCCGTGGTGGAACCCCAAACTCGACTCCTCCCTGTCTCTACTTGCTCACTTTGCTCACTTTGCTCTCTCTCGCTCTCTTCTCTCTTCGCAGTTTCCTTTCGTCCAACCGTAACCCACACCCAGGACCCAAGCCAACTCTCTCAATCATGTCCGGAGGCCACGCTATTCTCGCTCCCACTGAGGACGACATCCAGAAGCTCCTTGCCGCCAACGTCCACCTTGGCGCCAAGAACGTCGAGCAGCAGATGCTCTCGTACGTCTACAAGCGCCGCATTGACGGCATCCACCTGATCAACCTCCACAAGACCTGGGAGAAGATCGTCCTCGCCGCCCGCATCATCGTCGCCGTCGAGAACCCCGCTGACGTTGCCGTCATCTCTGCCCGCACCTACGGCCAGCGCGCCATCCTCAAGTTCGCCGCCCACACTGGCGCCCAGTCCATTGCCGGCCGCTTCACCCCCGGTACCTTCACCAACCAGATCCAGGCTGCCTTCAAGGAGCCCCGCGTTCTGATCGTCACCGACCCCCGTGCCGACCACCAGGCCATCCGTGAGGCTGCCTACGTCAACATCCCGATCATTGCCTTCTGCGACACCGACTCCCCCCTCCGCTACGTCGACGTTGCCATCCCCTGCAACAACAAGGCTGCCCAGCCCACCGGCCTCATCTGGTGGCTCCTTGCCCGTGAGGTCCTCCGCCTCCGCGGCACCCTCTCCCGCACCCAGGCCTGGAACGTCATGCCCGATCTCTACTTCTACCGTGACCCCGAAGAAGCCGAGAAGCAAGAGCAGGAGGCTCGTGAGGCTAAGGCCCGCGCGCTGAACGCCTCGGCCACCGCCGCTGACGAGTCTGCCCCCGAGGCTGCCTCCGGCGAGTGGACTGGTGAGGCTGGCGCCACCGGCGAGTGGTCTGCTGACAGCAACTGGTCTGCCGCTGGCAGCGACAACTGGGGTGCCAACCAGTAAAAGCGCACTGCTCGGCTCCTGTTCTCGTTTGTCGATGTTTGACCCTGTGTAACGAACCCCGCTCCTCGTTTTGTTTGTTAAACTTGTGAAAAGCACATGGTGAGCAATGAATTTCGATTTTTATCATCCGTTTGTTCAGCATTATCAGTGTGCAGTAGTAGTTCAGTGCAGTCTTGGTTGTTTGGTTTTTGGATTTGCAATCCGTGTTTGGATGGCGCATGTTGCGGTGTTCCGTGGACTGCATGTCCATCACACCCAGCTGAATCATGCTCGCTGGGTGTCTCTTGCGTCGTCCTTGTCCTCCACGCTGACTGGGATTGACCAACGACGGTCCTTCTCAACGGTCAAGGACTCGTCCATCGCCGAGGTTGCGACCGCCAAGACAACGACCGCGACCACCGCCGAAATGCAGCTCGATGGGCAGCAGCCGCCAGTGTCTGCATCTCGCTTCCTGCTTGCTGTCGAGTACGACGGCACTGCGTTCAGGTGAAGGAGGCTTTGAGGACCACGAGGAACGGACACGGATCACTGTCATCACTGCGGAATCTCAGTTCTGAGAGTTCTGAGGTGTTTTTGGAGGATGATCATCTCACTCGATGCATGCGTTTGTCTCATGATGTTGGATTCTGATCGATGGGGGGTGGGGGCAAAAATTCAGTGGAGTTGCTGCAAGTCCAGACGAACCACCAGACCGACCAAGTGTCGGATCCGTTTTGGATGTAAGAAGTTGGCGAACAACCACATATCGACCAACTCTGTTAAACCCGTCAGTTCAAAGCGTCGACTAAATTTCTGGTGTGCGTGGAATCGTTGGAACAGCGTGCGATTGCACAAGCAACGCGCCAAGATGCTCGCGTGACCTTTTCGAGCCGCACCGATGCCGGCGTTCATGCATTGTGGAATACCTGTCATGTCGACATTGAGCCTCGAACCCGACGAGGAGATTTGATGGTAGGTTTGCGTTCGTCGCAAAAGACGCGTTTCGACGTTCCCAACCTGACCTCTCCTCTCGTTTCCCTCGTGAAATGCAGACTCAACAACAATGGACTCCCTTGGCACTCGGATCCGCCATCAATTACTTTTCTAGAGGAAAGGTGCCATATCCAATGTCTGTTCGTGCCGTGTGCGCCGTGCCAGAGCAAGTCCATGCGCGATTCAACGCAACCCAACGAGTGTACATTTATCGGGTTGTCGTTGGCGAATCTAGTGCAGCCTCAGTGTTTGACTTGCGCTATCACCTCACTGCCGCACCCATTGATGAGAGTCTTGTGCAAGTACGTTCAGCTCCTTGTTTTGAGTGGATGGCAACTTGTCGGCTTGTTTCTTCGTTGACTCACTCAATCTCCTCCGGTCAATCCATCGTCCAACAGCAAGCATGTCAAGTATTTGAAGGGACGCACGATTTTCAGTCATTCCGTGCTGCCCGATGCCAGGTGAAAGAACCAAATCGTGGGCGTGTTGCTTGAATCTTGCAAGGTGGCCGAGTTCTCAATCGCTTCCAACCCTACATACCTTGAACTGACTGTATTCCCTTGGCTTTGACTGCAGGCGCGAACAACAACCAGACACATTTCCCAGTTCTCCGTCCAGATCGACAAACACAAAACTGACAACCCGTGGGCAAACTCGCTGCCAGACGCCCTCTCCAAACCAACGGTCGCATTAACATTCACCATCCGGGGTTCTGGGTTTTTGTACCATCAAGTTCGTATCATGGTGGGGCATGTGTTGAGCGTCGCGAGTGGCAAGTCAACACTGGCCGATCTCGTCCACCTTCGTGACAATCCGCAAGTCATTCACTTGCACAAAGACATGCTACCGGCACATGGACTGTGTCTCAAAGAAGTGTGCTATGACTCTCAAGACATACCGCCCGAGTCGTGGGTGATGATTGCCAAAAAGCACCATAGCTTCAAAGCACTGCGCGAATCTGTGATTGTCCGGAAACCATTTCGAAATCCTGCCAAACCAGAAGCAGCCGTGGTTGACCAACAAGATTAAGAACGTAAAAATACATGAGTATTATTGTACAAGTATCTGAGATGTTTAGCCAGGCAAATGTTGAAACGCGGTCTCGTTCACAACTCAAATTTCAGTAAAAAGGCCGAGCGCAACCCAACGTCCCAGGTCACGTCATCAGCGTCCCGTGCGACGATATCGATCGACACATGTCGCGTGCATTGTGCGCCTGCTGAGGTGGACAGGCGTGCAAGCTGCGTGTACCGAACTGGAATTGTAACGGCAAAGTAGCCATCCTGCGTCGATGGAGTGGCCTCGTAAGCAGTTCGCAACACAGAGGTGCGAGCACTGAGAAGGGCAATTGGATTGTCAAACGAGGTGTTGGAGATCTGTTGTCCGACAAAAACAACAAAAGCAAAGTTTTGTCAAAACAACTGCTGTTGCATCTTCACAAACAGGAAGCGCAAATTGCTCGACTTACCAGAGGATCTTGAGCATTTCGCAGTGTCGTAACGAGCTCGTCTGCCGCGCGGAATGGGAGTAGAGGCATGGCAGCCTCGCCGTCGCCTTCGATCGAAGTACACGTGAATGTCACGACCAAGTGTCTTATCTGGTGCGGCGCAGATACTGTGCAAGAGAATATGGGAAGCAAAAGCAACGACCAGAGCAATGTCAAGGCAGAAAAAGTAAGACTACGTGGTGATTTGGCGAGGAAAAAAAAAAAACAGAACGAGACGACGGGCGCGCTCACCGTGCTGTTGAACTACTCCTTCGACTCGCAATAACAGGTCGGATTGTTTGGTCGTAACGGTGGATTCGGTGGGTGATGGTGACGGCGACACGGTCATCTACGAGCAATCATGCGAATCAGTCAGCCACGGCTCTGGCTCCTGCAGGATTGGGAAGGAGCTCAGCCGAGGGGACACGTACCTCGATGCGGGTGAGCTTTTGGCTTGCAAAAAAGACTGGGAGAATTGGAACTCGAGCTCCCAGTGCGTAACGTCGAAAGATTTCTGTGACTGCTTCGAGACGCTGATACCAAACATTCCTCCCAACCACTGAGTGTCGCAAACCTAAACCTCAATCCATCCCAATCATGTGGACTTTGTACCTCGCCCAATGAGTCCGTAGCAGCAGGAAGTTGTGCGACAGCAGAGTCGACAATCGAATAGACTTCCGTCGAATCTCGCGACGGCGGCTGGTTGGTCTCCATGTCTGTTTCGCAGCCACCGCTGTGTTGGAGTCAAACAATGAAGGAGAGGCAAAAGTCAGCATTGGTGCCGACGCGTCAAAGTTAGACTTCAAAAAATCCGTACCTCGCTTGAAGCGATCCGAGTGCTTGCCGAAGAATGGCACACAACGCGGTCTGTGTCGAAATTATGCTCAACGACTGTGCATCCATATCAATCGCCGTGCGGCAGAGCCGCTCGTAGGCATTCTCAAGGTTGACGAGTGCAGTCTGAGTCGCGACAACAGAGTGGGCGACCGAGGCCGAGAGCTTCTCGGCTTCAACGCACAGCTGCGTGCGTCGTAATAGCGAGGCAATGCTGGAGAAAATTTCGACATGGGTGATGCGCAATTGCAAGAGTTGTAGTTGGAGCGACCATGAGAACTTTGGAGATGAAGCAGCCTGTCCAAGACCGTCGTGAAACGCACGACGGCAACCAAAAACAACAAGTCAGTGACAAAATAGCATCAGCAGCCCCCAGCACACGGACGGAAGGAACTAAACGAACGCACCGTGAATTTGGCAGCCGCTTGTCGCAAACTCGCGAGTGCCTGCGATAGTTGCTGTGTCTGCGAACTGCCCGTATCGGGCAACGAGCTGGCGTTGGCAATCAAACTCTCACTCGCCGAAAGTTCGAGCAAACCTGAAATCCACAATGCAGTATGTTCCGAAGCGGTCTGGCAGGAGAGTCGAGAACACACAAAAAGATCAGGCTCACGTCTTTTCGAAGACAAACGAACACAATAACAACTGGCACTTACGCGTTCTAAAAGTCGAGGCAGAAGCGCGCTGCTGAGCTCAAAGTGGCCATTTTGGAGAGCGGCTTTCGCAAGAACGTAGAATGGCCACATGTTTGCGCTAGAGTCTTCGGGAAGATGTTGCAGGATGGTGGCAGTAATATCTGAGCGCACTTCCGAGGACGTGTCAAACTGCCAAGCAGAGGAAGAAATCAACAAGAGCCGCGCCAGACCATAAAAGTGCGCAGCAGCGCTGCCATTGGCGAGTGCGTCGCGAAGGAAGGCGTGCATTTGAGCAGTCGTGGCGCGCGCGTGCCGAACTTTCAGCGTGGCAGTGCATGCCTGGAGCAGCAAGCTGAGATTGGCAGGCGAGGCGTGAGGCGCGAGGAAGAGCGCAAGCTGCAGAGACGTCGAAACAAGCTGGAGCGGATAGGTGGTGCACAAATCGACACTGCACTTCAGTAATCGCTTCAATCGGGACGCTTGAGCGGGCTGTGACACTCGGGCGGCCACGTGGAGAAAGAGCGCTCGCAGAGTTGCTTGCGGCCACGTTTGCTCGTGCGAATGGCCCGACACGCCGGGAAGCACAGAGACGAGAATGTTGGTCAGCAGCTCAATCACCACGACAATCAATTCAAACGGAGGGTGGGGAGCCAGCGGGGATTGCTCTGGGCTGGCGGGAGCGACGATGCGAAACAGGAGCGCAACCAGAGCAGCCAGCTTTGAGTCATCGGAGCCGTCCGGGCTGGTGCTCACGACAGCACGTGCGCTCGCGCTGTCCGTGTCCATTTGCATGGCCGCCGCTTCTGTTTGCTTTGATGGATTGCTCGATGCCAACAAGGCGTGGAAAGCGGCGCAGAGCGGCCATCGAGGTCGAGCAAGCGCGCGCAGCACAACGACGGCACGCACCGCCACTGACGGGGAGGCGTCGCTGACCAGCTCAGTCAGCGCATCGAGACACCCTTCTGATGCCCACATGGCCTCATCATACGGAATTTGCTGCGCAAGCAGGGCGAGGCCGTCCAACGCGGCACATCGAACCGCATCGCGTGGATCAATCTGAACAAACTGGATGAGCAGGCCAACCTGCTCACTTAAGCCGTCCTGAGAGGCGAGGACTAGCCTGGTCAGCGTGGAGAGGATGGCGGCTGTAAAAGGTCGAGTTGGCGCAACGACCAACAATTCTACCAGCGTCTCTCGCGCTTCCTTGCAAAGCTGTGCGCTGTGATGCATCAGGGCCAAAAGTTGCAGCAGACGCAACTTTACAAGCGGAGGGGTGTCGTGTCCACGGCACATTGGCCCAATCCGCGTGCACAGCGCAGACGCAAACTCGCTCGAAACGCTGCAGAAACGAGCAGCCGCCCCGATCGCCGCATCCACCTCAATCTCGTCCGTTGCAGACAGGGCGTTGAGAACTGCGTTGTGCACTGTCTTTTTGTCCTTTGCAATGAGTGCAAGCGCACCCAGTGCGGTCAGTGCGAGCGAACGTGCGACCGAGTCGTTGCTGTGCGACACGATAAAGATGCGCATGACGAGTTCGTCCACATTGATGACGCGATTGAGCTGCGCAGAGCATTGCGACAGCACTCCGGCAACATGTCCTCGAATCAGGTTGTTTCTGAGCAATGAAGGTATGGTTGATAGAAGTAACGTTAGGATGTTTGAGGTCTTTTGCTGTAATAAAACCAAAGCGTCCTCCACCTGTCCCCCCAAACCCCCAAACCCCAATATCTCTATCGATCTGCAATGCGCGTGAGTTGCCTCCTTACTTTGATCGAAACTCGTCGGCAAGCTTGAGCAACGCGCTGTTCACAATGACTGGCAGCGGATACTTTTCCAGCACGCGCGCAACGCCGACGATCGCTTCGCACTGCTCGCCGAGATCGGTCGCGCGGAGGCCTGAATTGTGTGTTCACAAAAGGTTTTCAAGTTGGCAAACAAAGGCCGAAACGCGTCGCAAGTGAGTGCAGTGAGAGTGAGTGGAGTTGCATTGGGATCATTCGCTTTGTAGGCAGCCGTCCGCGTTCGAGGGAAGGGGGGGGGGGTTGAGACTGAGGCCGACAGCAGAGCGAGTCCAAGCAACGTGGATCTGCAACGTGGATCTGCAACTGGGCGTGAGGGTTGAGGCGAATGGAGGGGGCTGACCTTTGTCGAGCTCGAGCAGCTGTCGGTTGGCTTCGTCGACGTCGACCGAGCGACCACTCATGGTGAACAATGAGGAAAGGTCGAAAGGAACAACAGCAAAATGATGAATGATTAAATGTATCGTGTAGGACGGGAATACGATGAAACGAAACAACATTGCGAATTGATTTCGGATGGAATAGTGGATTTAGAACTACTTGTGCACCACGAGCGCAGACAAGCCCCAGCAGCGACAAATGGAAGCAAGAACGACAAGACGTCAAGTGGGGAACCGACAATCCAGGTGGTCAAGCGGGTAAATGAAACGACGAGGAAGGACAGACAGCTGGGGAAAAAAAAAGTTCAAAAAATCAAGCGGTCGCATACACTTGCGTTGGTACTGCCGCGGCGTCTTCAAGCTCAAAGAGCATGTCGAAAACGTCGTAAATGTTGCCGGCAACAAAGTCATTGTCCACCAAATTGACAAGATAGAACGTGTCGTGCACTTCGCTCAGGAACTTGCGCGATGGCGATTCTGGCGGGTACAGCGAGCCCCATTGTGTCTTCCACAGCGCGAAGGCCTCATCCTGCAAAAAAGCACGTCACCAGCAGCGTCGAGTGAGATCCATGGTCAAAGGCAAGACATGGCCAAACCAAAAACACAAAAGAAAATCACGAAACAAAGTCAACCTCGTACCTTCCAGACGCCAAAGCTGATCGGGTCAACCACGGTCGGTTGAACAATCTCTTTGCCAGGGAACACGCCCCAGGTGACGGCAGTGGGGGTTTCGTTTTCAAGGTTTCGCAGATCCTCCGTGCCCTGAAATGGATTACAACGATGAATCAGTACGGAACAGATCAAGCAAGCAGAAAAGCAACATGTAAATAAGCTCGGTACTCACGCTGTAGTTGACGGCGTGATATTGGACAGATGGGAAGGCGTCAATAGCACGAAGCAGGTTGGGAAGTCGATCGCTTGCAATGAAAAACTCGAGGTAGGCCTGCCACAACATCACCCTTCAAATGAGCGCCAAGAGCCAACGATCGCAGAGCCAAACTGCTGCTACTACAAGAACAACAGCAGCAATAGCTCAAAACAAACACCCAAAACCAAAGGAAAACTCACCTTTTGATAGACATAACCGCGAGGACCGCCCCAACCGTGAGTGGGATCGTCAGAGCGCAAGCCGTTGACGCGAGGCTGTGAGTTGATGGTGAGGACGCCGCGCTCGTTCAAGCGGATGAGGGGACCGAGAACTGTGCGGGTTTCTGGGGCGATGGGCTCTTCGTTCCACGGCAAGCGCTGGACGTTGCCTTTGCCGCTCAGGTAGTTTGTAAACACGGTGATAATGTCGGCAATGGACTCGCAAGACCGGCCCCACATTTCTTTGCGGGCAGTGTCGTCAGTGTCTTGGAGGTGGAAGAGGTAGTAGTCGGTGAGCTCGCCGAATGCGGGCGACGACGAATCACCCCAGCGACCGTTGGGGAAATCGTCCCACTCTTGAGTGCGCAGCAGGTAGCTCTTTGGGCGGCAAGACCAGAAGATGGGTCGCACGTCCTCGCTCGAGCGGCGCTCGTTTGCGGAGGTCTTCCAGGGCAGGCTTCGAGGGCCCTCCGACCACAGACCGAGCTGGAGCAGAATTTCGCGGACGGCAACCTCGCGGTTGAGCGTGTAAAAGTGCACGCCCTGGATCATGCGGTTGCCAAACTCGTCGACGCGGTCGAGGAGCTCGCGGCACATGTTGGTGGCAAGGTGCACGCCATACCGGCGGATGGCCTCGTCGTCGTCCTTGATGGGCTCGATCGTGTCGAGGATGTACTGCGGCGGCTGCAGGTTGCTCAACTTGACGAGATTGCGGAGCGACGAGTAGCCCTGGATCGGGAGCACGCCTGGAATGATGGGGACTTTGATGCCGATCGCGCGGCACTTTCTTACAAACTCAAAGAAGGTCTCCACGTCAAAGAAGAGCTGAGTGATGATGAATTCAGCGCCTGCGTCGACCTTTTCCTTCAAGTGTTGCAGATCGCTCTCGAGAGACTTTGCTTCCGGGTGGCCATTTGGATAGCCTGTTGAAGATTCAAAAAAAAAAAAACAAGCACAAAGGCGGAACATTCGATGTGTGAGTGTGATGAGTCCGACAAATGACAGCGATGCGACCTTCGAGTGTAAGATGATCATGAACGAAGGACAGAAAACCAATAAAACAAACGCTTCCACCAAAGCGGCAAAAAACCGTGACATCCCCAAAACAATCGAACGTGCAATGAATGACCAGCAATGATATCATCATGCACTGGAGCATGCATGTTGCGTTTTTTGCACGATGCATTGTAGACGTGCGTTGTGGCTTCAACATCAACATTTGTGATTTTGGGAGCACTTGGATGTCAAAGTAGGCACCTCACACGTGCATGTAGACGTATCTGATACACTGATAAAGGATGAGAGATTCATTCAGTGCAAAAAAATCATTGCTTACCGGCGACGCAGATGCCAAAGTAGTCGCCAAAGGTGTCTCTGACGTGCTTGACGAGGTCTGTGGCATAGCCAAAGCCGTTCTCGATGGTCTTCCAGCCTTCGCCTGGGGCGGGGTCGCCGCGGAGGGTGAGAATGTTGCGAATGCCGTTATTCTTTGCGCGCTGGAGCGTCTCTGTGAGCTGCGCCTTGGTCTGGTTGGCGCACGTCATGTGCAGCATCGTCTCGAGTCCGCACAGGTTGAGCGCGGTGGACGCGACCGTCATGGAGCTCGTCGGGAGCTCGATGGCGGTAGGGTCGCCACCACCCGCGCCCCACGTCACGTCAATGAACAGCGGGTTGCCCTGCGACAGCCGGTCAAACCGCGACA